CCAAGCGGCTAATCATGTTTTAGCTACCAGCTTAGGGGGAGGTGCTAATTTCTATATTTAATGTATGGCTGTATGGCTATTTATGACTATGTTTGGGGTATTCTCCGTAATTTACCAATACAATGGATTCATCCGGAATTGATATCAGGCGATAGGAATTAAGAACCATTGAACCCGTATCTTGGAGGTTGATTGACCTTTGGGTTGACACCCCGAAACTTCCATAATGATATGTACGTTGGCTGGTAACTAAAACCAGCTAGGGTCTTTCAGATGGTGAATGTTGGATTCAATGGGCTGCCGTTAAGTTTTTTTGAAGAAAATCGGGCCCAAGACAGTGAACAAACTTCGAACATTTCACCGACACCAAGCCTTACCTTGCACACTGGCCTCTTGGTGGAACACAGCGCATTTGAGGCAAAGGCCCAAACGCACTGGATTCAGGGGGCTGAGTTCCTGCCAGGCTGCTTTGCTTGAAGACACCCGTGTCAAATTCCTCCTACAAAAGGAATAGACCGACTGCTATACGACAGTTTCTGGGCAGGCATTGAATATGCGGGGGAAATAATTACATGGTTAAAATGCATCGCCCTGCAGGAACGTGAGTCGGAAGTAACCAAACTGGACCAAAACCTTGATTTTGCGTAGTTTCAATCTATCTGTAAATATAACTGATTTCAAAGAACGTGGTGACATGGTTTTCCATTTCCATCCAAGATGCCAAAGCAGGACAGCGGGTATTGACATACTCTGGAGCCTGAAACATCCATGAAGATCCGATGGTGACATGTTCCTGGCTACGACTTGGCCCTTCAACATCACTGTCATCTCATGGTTCCAAGGAGAGCAAAGACATTGGCTTGTCATGATTTTTGTGGTAAACCCGACAATAAACCTACAATTCAGGGATGGTTTTATAAAACGCATTTAATTATGGTGAACTTTGACAATTTTTCAGAAATAATTTGAAATAATATTTAATATGGTGTGCTATAGCTGCTACTATAGCTGACTTGGTGTTCCCCCAAGATGGAACTTCAAAAAGGATATTTGCCTACTTGGGATAAATGATGGCCGTCATTGGTTCCAAAGATGCAGAAACTGCCCATGAATTGCATTGAACGATTTCTGGCAAATTGTTTTTTTGATGTTTTTTTCAATGTTTGGCATTGTGCCCTAGACAACGCCAGCGCTTTAAGATCGCAGGTTTGTAAACTGCTAGCATGCTAGCTACCTACCGTGAAGGACTGCGAAACGCAAACAAAAACAAATCGACATCACAACATTTCTGCAACGACCTGGTTTTGGACATGTTGGGCCTTCTAAGTGTCTGTGTGTAGTGGATGTTGGAAGATGGACAACCGTTCAAACGATGTCTGGCGCCCCAGAGCCCGCCAGGAGCACGCTCCTGAATGGGAACCATGGCAGTCTGATAGGCATTAAATGCTTTTTGCACGTGTTCTCCGGACAGTTCTGGACCGAGCATGCTGGCCAGGTATCCTAATTTGATAGCTGCACCGGATCAATGACAGCCACTGAAATCGAGAACGGAAAACTGAACAAACCAAACAAATTGGGCTGATCGATGCATTGGTCAGCATGCGTGCCACAAACGATTAACACAGAAGGAATTAATTATTCGCTTGACCTTGACCCTTGCAACAAGCATGCAAGAATAAAGGTGCATAGGCCAAGGCTGCACGCATGGACAAACTTGTTGTGGCCTGGCATATAAGCTCAAAATGCCTCACAGGAGTTAGACACCCAAAACATATTGTCTTGTCTTGCAAGTGGGGAAACCAAATGCGCATGTGGTGCAAAGCATCGGTGCACATCGCCGACGAAGCCATTGTAGCAAACCTCATCCTTGGAAAGGCAACAAGGTTTAGGATTGAGGGTGCCCTAGTGCAACAACGGGACTTATGGCTCTTGACCGTGGTAATTGGAATGGCCATTCCCTGGGTTATGCAACCGGTCCATAGGAATGAAAGCAGCAGTCAAACACCATAGGAGCAACAAAGGTGCATGACCCAAATTATAATTGGAAAGCCATTAAGGAACCGCTGTCTCCTGCTGTGTTGCGCGTTCCCATCACTAATGTTTCCTCGGCCTTGCTCCGAAGTAAAACTTGGTAACACGGGGGCTCGAGGCCCCCGACAAAAACAACATTTTCAGCAGCAGCGTGCACCGGATTTTTCAACCCTCGCAGTGTTTTGTGAACATCGCTACTTTGAAAATGGCCAAGAAATGCCCTGAGGACAGGGTCCAAAACACACTTTCAATGGTATTTGCAGGGGATTCTGCGCCCAATCATTTTTAAAACTTTATTTTTTTTGAGAAGAATTGCTTTTATGGTCAGTGTTTCAATTCCGTGGGCAACAGTTGGAACAAGTCCTTGTCGACATTGTTCTTTCTCCGTACATACTGATATGCTTGGCCGAACAACTGTGGGTTGGGCAGGCCATCGATGCGTGTCTTCACACGGCCACAAATGAAGCTTTTGCTTCATGTCCACAGCTTATAAACTTGCTGCGTTCCAGCAACTCTACTCTGTCCTCGCTTCTTCTTTCCTCGCACTTTGCGAGTGAACTCAGAGCGACAGTGTTTGACCTGTTCAACTCATGAGGAAACATATCAACTCATGTGCCACGAAAAGTGCACATCTATATCAACACGTATGTCACTTCATGTACATGCACCAGAAGGAAACATATCAACTCATGTGCCACGAAAAGTGCACAGCATTTCAACCGTATGTCACTTCATGTACATGAACCATCAGCAAGCATGTCAACTCATGTACCACGAAGAGTGCACAGCATATCAACATGTATGTCACTTCCCGTACATGAACCAGAAGGAAACATATCAACTCATGTGCCACGAAAAGTGCACAGTGTATCAAAATGTATGTCACTTCATGTACATGAACCATAAGCAAACATATCAACTCATGTACCACGAAAAGTGCACAGTGTATCAACACGTATGTCACTTCATGTACAAGAACCATAAGGAAACATATCAACTCATGTACCGCGAAACGTGCACAGCGTATCAACACGAATGTCACTTCAATGAAGATGAACAGCATTTTGGAGATCCGCTGCATCCGTTTATTTTGTGATTCGGTCAATTGTTCTCCATCTGACCTCAATTTCTGAATCTTGCAATTCGAACGTTTGGAGGACGAAATTTTCACACCGGTAAAGCATTTTGCCAAGATTGACCGTGCTTCGTGCACCATTGTCGAGAAAAATAATTAGCCAATCCGCTGCTTTCACTTCGACGTGTCCTTAGGACAATTTTGTCGCATTCAATCCGCTAACATTCGTTGTTTTTTGATGTTTATTGTAAAGAAACCACAGCGTGACTTCCGCTCCTTTTTGCTGATTAGCCAACGTGTAGTATAGTTACAGGCCCTAACTCTCATTCTCAATTGGGTACGACAAAGCGTAGTGCTCTACTCATTGCCTTTGAATGTGTGCCTGTGTTTTTTTGTCTTGGATCCTATGTCTACGCATTTACATACGCCGTCAAGGCTCAAGAGAAATATAGAGTAATCCTGTAGACACCGCACCGACTGGCTATTGGCCGAATATTAAAAGGTGTGTTAGCTGTCTGGTGAAGACGCTCTAGCTGATCTAATCTAGACGCTAGTGCCCCTCGTCACACCCCCCCGAAACCCACCCAACCGACACCCAGCGTATCAACACCTATGTCACTTCATGAAGATGAACCATAGAGGACCTGGTCGAACATCTCCATGTCACAAAAACCACATGAACCACATCTTCATGTAACACAATATGATTGTACTAGATGCATGTACAAAATATCAAAATTTGCAAATGATCAGGGGCCCCGAGACCCCGTGTGACCTAAAACTTGGCGCTCTGAACCGCACGCGGCCACGTTACAAACAACAATTGGGACAGCGGCTGCCACGCTGTCGCGCCCGAAAGAAATCTGTTCAATGTATTATTTATCATTGTTTGTGCCGTTCTGCATCTTTGGCTCGCCAGAATGACTGGCCAGGCAATTTGTCGCTGTCTTTGTGCCTCGTTCAATTCAATTGCAGCCCCGTGGCTAGAAATACGATGCTATGATGCTCCTCTCAAGCATGGAAACATACTTGTTCGGGGTTTGGGACAGTAGTGCCTGGTAAAAGTTGTGAAGTCTTTGTGTTTTCTCTCCTTGATAGAAAATGAAACAGAAGGGACACAAAATTGCGCCGAGGTTTTTTGCCGTAAACTTGTCAACATTCTCATACTATGTACTTTACTCGCAAACTTCGCGGCAAACTTCGCCGGCAAAACTTTGCCAGCAAACTGTTGCTGGTTATTTATGTTTAACAAATAATGTTTTGTCCGTAATAAATTACATGAAACGGCATGCTCATCGGGATAAACCTGGCAAAACCTGAACCTTGAACAAGAACAAACATTATAATCGGTCATCCTGACTTTATTCTGCAAGAATTTTGGCCGAACAATTGATCACGGGAATTCTGGACTTGCAATCATGATGGTTAGTTTCTCCCCACCGTGGGCACGATGATATCTAGGCCTAGGTGCGCCCCAAATTGTTGGATATTTCTAGTGGGGATCACAATGGGCACCAATACGAGTTGGCATAACAATTCCCAACCTATACCCATGTTGATTGTTTGAAGACAGGCGCCCTGGGAAGCCATCCGAATGGGTGCTTTGACATCCTGAAAACTTAAACCCTGATCGTTAGGAGGAGACTGTTTCGTGAATAGGCAGCAACAAGACTTCTCGGAAGCTATAGAGTGAGCCTGCAATCAATTGACCACTAAAACATCACAGTTGCTGATACTGCGGGAATGTCCAGCTAAAAAAACATGAGGCAACGCGGTACCATCCAAAAGGCCTGATATGCTTCAGAGTCTGGCTGCTGGCGTGTGCCCCGAAATGATTATATAAATGGGTCTAGGCTATTGGGTCGAAAGTGCAAACCTTGCAACCACAAATATTGATCATTTACCAAGAATTGTCCATGGTTGTCAACAAGTTAATGAACCACCCCCTTCTGTTAATCAAAACATCAGGCATGAAACCATAAACGTAAGATATCAAATTAGCAGAACATGAAATATTGCTCACCAATTCGCGATAAATGTCCATGATCGTGCATGTAAAAATCAACACTTGTGAAACGGATATCTAGAGTGAGCACGCCAAGTGTCACAAAAGGTCTGTTGAATGGTCACCGAAAGTTTGTAGCAATACTGGAGTGGGGCATTTTATTTTCATTGCATGTGCATATATAATCATGTGTATCCACTGTACATACGCACAAATGTAACTTCAAATGGTATAGATATGGACTCGTATGTAATTTGAAAATAAATTTACATATGCACATATGTATATAAATGAAATGAAAAAAGAAACAGAGAGAGAGATATATATATATACATAAATAAACCGAAAAGTATGTATGGAGTTCTTTATCGTCATTGCATGTGCCTACATTGTCATGTGTACTTAATAAACACATAAATATAGTTCAAATGGAATAGATATGGAATGGGATGTGTATATATATATACAAATAATTGTCTATATATATATATATATATATATGTTTTTTGACATTCATACAGACATTCATATGTATGAATGGAGCAATTTATTGTCGTTGCATGTGCAAACATAACCATGCGTATCCAAAATAAGTACACATGCAGTTCAAATGGTGTAGAGGTGAAATGGTGCGCATATATATATATGTGTCTGTGTGTGTAAACACACTAATGTATATATATATATAGATATATTTATAAATGTAAATAAATAAACATAAATAAATATATATATATATATTACATACCTACATGAATGTATGGAGCACTTTATTGATGTTGCATACATACTCATATGTATCCAAAATACGCACATATGTAATTCAAATGGTATCGCGATGACATGGTGTGAAAAATATCTATATATATATAATATGTATGTTCATAGGTAAACATCTCTGAGTGATGTATGAAGGAAGCACTTTATGCTCGTTGCATGTGCATACATAATAATGTGTATAATGTGTATTTAATATACGCCCATGTGCCATTCAAATGGTATAGATGTGGACGAATGGTATGTCAATACCTGTATACATACATACATATATATATATATGTATATTTAATTATTTAAATTTTGTGTGTGTGACTAAACTAAAAAAATATAAAATATATCTCCCCTCTAACTATCCCACGGTATGTTTGTATATAGCCAGAAGGGCCCAGCGCTCTTTATTTACAAATTGTTCATTTATAGAGAGAGAGAGAGACGTTAACATACATGCATCCATGGAAGCCGTGCACCTCATCAATGTACATCAGGATTCAAGCATTCCTGCACATCCACTGTGCCTTGACATCTAGGCTCATCAATAGGGCCCTTGAGCGCATCGCTGCAATACATCAAGAGCCAGCTGCTGCAAGCATCAGTAAAACACATCAGTGGTTTCAACATCTTAGTCTTAGCCCCTGGTCGATCCAGTTCGTCAGGGGTGAGCTCCAGCAACGACAACAAGCATCAGCAGAGCCACAGCAGGTAAGCCTGTAGTACCAACAGTAAGCATCACCAAACATGGCAACAACAACAGAAGCAGATGATCAGGTCAGGAGCAACCACCAATACAGGATCACACCACCAACATAGGATATCATAGGATGGTGACTTTGCCATTTTTGCAAAATAGAAATTTCAATGCACATTCACAGCATACATCCGCCTCATCAACTCCACCTTTCCCCGACTGTTGCATCAGTCAGAGAACTCACGACATCCCGTCACAGACGAACTCCTCAGCGCAGGATCTGACCCCATCGAGGAAGGTGAACGTTGGGCCAGACTTGCATCAGAACTTCATTTCATCCTGGTGAACATCACCGAGGACCAGCAGCAGCCGTGTGCAAGCAACACGGCATCATGACAACGGCATTGAAATTTTGAGTAATTCACTTGGAGACAACTGGTCACCAGGTTCTCCACCCCAGTTGGCACCCGATCCATCGGGTACTGAACCAAACTCCTGAAACCATCGTTCAACGACAACAAGTTTGAGGAGTCATTTGCGACATGGGAAATTGAAATCAACAGGTATGAAAGAGACAGCAACACCATCTTGCAGACAACATCAAGATTGCAGCGCTTCGCAGCGAAACTCATGGAGCACTTCAGCAACATCTACAGCTTACCGCATCCAATCCAATACTACAGGGCAGCAGCAGCAGCATCGTTCACAAGAATGCAACAACTCAACAAACCGTCCAACAAAGATGACAAAGGTCCAGCACCAAAGGATGTCGGAGAAGCAACCTGGACAGGAAAAGGTAAATCAAAGGGCAAGAAATTACATCACAAAGGAACAGGGAAGCAGCAATACAAAGGGAAACGGCACGGCATTAAAGGAAAAGGAAAACAAACTGTACAGTCCCATTGGGCAGGGAAATCCATTCAACGGCCAAAGAATGCCATCAGGATACAACAAAGGAAAAGGACAAGGAAAGACACTGGCCAACAGGGACACATCGCCGGACACTGTCGTGTAGCCATCTACAACTACGATATGGGAGATCAGTCCAACAAAGCTGATCCAAAAACAACTGGTACAACGACCCACAACAGTATGATCCATCTTGGTGGAATCAAGACATCACACGACAGGGTTATATACCACAACAGCTTGCTTTGCCACCAGCTCCGCAGCAACAGCCTACAGGCACAGCCCAGGCCATCAACGTCATGGAAGAGATCCTGATTGCGGCCATCGACTCCATCCAGGATATCGGTGTCACAGCAACTACAGGCAACTTTAAAAGTGTATATTGTGTGCATCTGTTTCACATTGGAAGAATCTTTTGGGACATCATGGACGTGACGTCGGTGTTTGAAGATTTTGAGTTCATCGTTTGAGATCAGCTTGCAGCTTGCATCATTTGTTTTGGCATCAAGTTCGAAAATTGAACGCTTTGCCATCGTTGAAGCCATCTTTTCGGCTCCATCGACTCCTTGTGAAGATCATCGTTTTGATCACCAATGGCTGACCACTCTGCCAGCATCGTTCATGATGACTCGTCAGAGCATCAATGGATCTCTTGACATCACCACAGCAGAGATCAATCAGATGACCATCCATGGGCGCTATTTCTTTGTGCATCTGCCGCTGAGGAATTCATGGCATCTCCATTTGTTGAGATCAAGCCCCCTGAAGGGGCAAAAATCAGTGCTGCCAACATCGTGCGCAAGATCAAGACACTTGATGGTAGCATCAGAATGGTACATCTCAGCCTTTTCAAGCATCATGCAGGTGCGGCGCACATTACATCTTGGATGTTGTATGAAGGACGATTGACAACAGCTCACCTGAGCCTGTCACATCTTCTCATCTTTTGCCCTGAAGTTTGGCATCAGTTTCATGATCTGTTACAGATCAGTGGCATCAACGCTTTCGACCGGCATCATGTGTCGGTCTTTCCGCTCACTGGTGGCCATCACTGGGAGCTCACACCAGCAGAGCTGGATTGGACGACCATCATCGACATCGAAGGACTTGGCTGATGTCTTCTCCAACAAGAATTGGGCATCACAAACCGTGTGGAACTGCCACGTCCCATTTGAAGAGTATCTGGCTTTGGCATCTGAAAACCATCTCAGTTCAATGAGAACATCAGGTATCAGAGATTCAGCGCAGCACGCTGGATTGCATCTGGTGGGGTCATCATCACCCCTCACATCAGGAGGTAGGCAGAAGCGCAGAAGCAGATCGATGTGTGCCTATTGAATCAGTGCCGCCGCGAAGCCATCCAATCCTGTGGGTGCCCGTTTTCGAAGTCATCCTGATCATCCATGCTACATTGGCCTATACTTTGAAGACCTCGCTGAGAAGCATCAACCAACAAATGCATCACGCCCATGCGCTCCATCAACGCATCTTGGAGCTCAGAAGATCGATGTGGATGAAGAGACGGAAGACGTCTCCAGTTGAAGATCGAGGAGGATGGCATCATCGAGGTCGTCAAATCATGCATCACAACTGAGAGTCTGAAGCATCAGCAATTGATCGTTCAGGAATATCTGAATATGGTTCTTCCACTGACATCTGATTCCTGCTGTACATCCTCTCAGCATCTAAGACATACAATGTTGTTAGATCATCGTTAGTCTCTATGTAGTGTTCGTTGTGAATCTGGTACAGGTGTATCATCGTTTCAGTTGTGGTCATCGTGCTTCACATCACGTGACCAAGGAGGCGCGTTAACATACATGCATCCATGCACATCATCAGTGTACATCAGGATTCGGACATCTCTGCACATCCAGTGCGCGTTGACACCCGGGCTCATCACTAGGGCCCTTGAGTGCATCGCTGCAAAACATGAAGAGCCAGCTGCTGCAAGCATCTTTGAAACACATCAGTGATTTCAAAAAGAGAGAAAGAGAGAGATGGGTGTTCAGAAGAGCAAAGCCGTAGCACCTTAGCACAGAATCTCCTCGCACCGTTTGGGGAAGGCGAAAGGACCATATCAGGACATCATACTATGTCATTCAAGGGGGTGCCCCATACTTAGCAAAGTAACTAATATGAGTTGGGTCTATGGTGGCAGCATCTTTTTTTCTCGTTGGAGGGAAGATGCCTGCACAGTTCACTGTTCGAATTCACCAGGCGCAGCCACCATAGGCAAAAGGATCAAACCAAAGTCCTAGTTGACAAGTGAAGCACACATGGGGATCAGAACAATACTCATCATTATCTGGTTGGTGGTTTCAACCCCCAACCAACCAACCGACCAACCGACCGACCGACCGACCAACCAAAATATTTTAGTCAGTTGGGAACATCAATCAAAAGAATATTGACAATATATTTTTTTAAAACCCTAACCAGTAATCCTATTTTATAAGAGAACCTCAAGAAAATCAAGCTTTTGAAGTATCCAAATACGAGGTCACGCAACATGCGCCGATCGATTTGGAAAAGAAAAATCGTGGAGGACCACTGTCTGATAGCATTCTGGGATTATCTGCGTACATCGCGCTAGCTCATATCCACCAGTCAAGCTCAAGGATCTTCCGCGGACCAGCTATCATGGCGCGGCCAACCCAGGAAATCCAGAAGCGACTTTGAGAAGGTTTCCTGGTGGAAATGGCAAATCATGTCATATGGACATGGCCTGATCTTCATGGTATCTTCACGGTATCTCCGAGAAAAAACTCTGGGTGGTAGTTCCGGCCATGATTTGGTCATGTCTAAATGCTCAACCGAACAAGTCAGGAGACTTTAAGATAAATGTGATCAATTACGGAATATACAGTAACCTGAATCCCGAACATAACTTGACGCCACGTTCGATTATCGAGGGTTTTCACCAAAACCCTGGTGGATTTCAGTGGTTCATGGTGGTTCGCTTCAAATACTAATGCTCTGTTCTGGTTACAGTATCCTTCAGGAGCCCCATGGTCTAAGAAGACCCCACTTCTATAGAACTCTTCAAAACCGAAACTCAGCATCGCAATGGAAACCCCGACCCCCTTGAGGCATAGCAAACATCGCTTTCAAACCTACACGGTCCCTGATCCCTACACCATACATTTACAGACATAGTAACCAATGCAAAGTAAATGCCGGTGCTCAACCTGCTAGACTTACACAGACATTACAGTACCCTAAGGTAAACTAACATAGATGTGGGTTAAACCCACCATTGGTAGATAATATTCACGCCATGGCTTTTCCACATCTTTCTGTATGTTTCCCAACAAACAGGTGACGCCCCGGCTGTCCAGTTCATCCGCCGCTGCAAGGGAGCCATCCTCAACCGAGGTGTTTTTTCCCCTGATCTAAAAGGTGGGCTTGTTGTCCACCAGCAACCAGTAACAGATGTATATATATATATATCAATGGATTGGTGAAAGGGAAAATCTATCAAAATCTAATTTTAGGTTGTTCCTGTAGATTTTTCCTCAAACCAATCCAAATGAATATAATCAGAGCGATTCTTAATCATCTATTGAATCTATTGCATCCGGAAAGACAACCCAAGATTGCGACACTTGCCTTTCGTGTGTGGCCCCCTGCTTTTCCAAACAAAAACCAAAAACAACTAGTGCTGGTTGGTGAACGCATCTGATCCCCAAAGAGAACGCACAGCTACTGTACGTCCACTAAACTCTGGTCGATTGTTTATGGGGGTTCACAATGTGGTAAATGTGGTAAGTAAGTTTGTATATGTGCAATGGTCAGAGCCAGGTATACCCTCTGGAAATCAACATAGCTATTGAAACTGGACCAGTTATAATTGATGTGCCTATTAAGAATGGTTATTTTCCATAGCTATGTTAGTTTACCAAAGGGTAAGGGGTATGGTCATCCATTCCAGAATGGGAATCCTTAGGCTAGGTGAACAAAATCCATCCCAATGGATTGATGCATCCCCCAATATGGCAACATAATCCAACCTGTGACCATGGCATTAATAAAACGATTGGAAACGTCTACACTGTGGCAAAATCAGGTTAAAACAATATAAGAGTCCACCAAATTTTTGATGACTTGTACCCATAAGAAGGGTAAACTTGTGATGGTTTAGTTTTGTTTTAACCACAGTACGCCCCTTCTCATCCTGGTTGGTGGTAAATTAGCCCCAAGTATAACTCTCATCATGTGCGGGGTCACGTGTCGTATTTTACTGGCCTATATAGTAGTCAAGGAGAAGGAGCGTAATTGGGTTAAACCAATAACAAACCATCCCCAAGTTTACCATCTATGAGTAATGTAAACCATCAAACGTGGGGTGGTGTATTATTGTTTGATCCAACTCACCTTTTTTTTTCAGGATGCATTGGTTACGTTTTTCTTTTGCTACCAGCAGCGGCAGCAGAAGCAAGCAGCAAGCAGCAGGCAAGCAGCAGCAGCAAGCAGCAGCAGCAGCAAGAAGCAGCAGCAAGCAGCAGCAGCAGCAAGCAGCAGCAGCAAGCAGCAGCAGCAAGCAGCAGCAGCAAGAAGCAGGCAGGCAAGAAGCCAGAGGCAGGCAAGAAGCCAGAAGCAGGCAGGCAAGAAGCAGGTTAGAAGCAGGCAGGCAAGAAGCAGCAGCAAGAAACAGCATGCAAGCAGAAGCAGGCAAGCATCAGCGGGCAAGCATCAGCAGGCAAGCATCAGCAGGCAAGCATCAGCAGGCAAGCAGGCAAGCAGGCAGGCAGGCAGGCAAAGCAAAGCAAAGCAAAGCCAAGCAAAGCCAAGCAAAGCCAAGCAAAGCCAAGCAAAGCCAAGCAAAGCAAAGCCAAGCAAAGCCAAGCAAGCAAGCAGCAACCAGCGTATGCCCCCTTGAAAGAATGATCAAATATAAGTACTAAAAATATCAAAAATCAGCGCAATACAAGAATTGAACTTTTTCCAGGCGCACAGCTCCAAAACAATGAAATGTTACACTTATTGAAAGTTATGGTGATGCCCAAATTGAACTTTTTCCAGGCGCACAGCCTCCCGATACGACTTTTAACGAGCTGATACGACTTAATTAACCCCACCGCTAGTATTTTTTGTTTAGCAGGCGTACCTGTGGATTGTACCGTACATATATATGAAATTGCGATAATATGATATGGGGCAAAACAGTGCTTATCAAACATCTGGCTGAATTATTCTGATCTGGTTGGTGGTTTCAATCCCTCTGAAAATAGTAGTCAGTTCGGATGATTATTCCCAATATATGGAAAAAATCCAAACCACCAACCAGTGATGATGAATGATTAAAACAACTTGGGCCAGAAACATTTTCCCCAAATCCCATTCCAACATCTTATACTTATCCTCGAAATAACCCGAGCCCAAATTCAAACATAGAGTCCTGAATTGTGTAGTATATATGTACTATACATGTACAATACATGGCTATAGATGTAAAGAAAGGCCGGGCAAATTATGATTTATGTAAGCCTGCGAGGCTGCGGGGCGCACGCACTTAATGTTGTTGCAATACTTTTTATGCGATACCCAGTGGGTCCCCCAAATTCACCACCATTTATGGAACTTTCTCTCAAGTCATTCGTGAGGCAGGCACTAAGGGATTGGATCACCACAGGTTGGCAAATGCCCAGAAGCTTCCGGCGAAACGTTCTTCCGCAACGGCTGCATCACTTTCTTGGCGTTTCCTCGCGAAAATATATCGGGATGCCAAGTGGGGAATGGCACATATGCTGGCTTTGGACTAGGTAAGAGGACGGGAAGAATGGGACCCATCGGTGCTCCACCAAATTGAACAAAACCATGGGTTTTATCTGGGACATTTACGGATACTGGAAACATCTCCCTGGTTCCCTTCAAACATCTGTGCTAGGGAAATTCAAAAGGTGTGGATCGCCTTCCGCCTCCGCTGCGGGGGTTCGTGGTCGTTTTACTTTGGTGGCGTTTTAGAAAGTGCATCCAACAAATTGTGAGTTGGTAATAAATATATAACCACATTAGACTCTACTGTATGTGGGATATATCCCAGTTGCAAAAACTGTTTGAACACTTTCTCCCTGGGCCCGTACCCCCAGCCGCAGGAAATTAATCAAAAATCGCAACCCAGGTGAGTGCCCAGTATCTGATCAAGCACTCCCGCTCTCCGCGCGACAATGGCAGCTGGCAAGTCTGCAAGTGCAACACAGCTTCCTGAAGCGCGAGCCATGCTGGTTCAACTCATTCCACGCAGAAATCAACAGTTAACATGGCCATTATTCGGGGGTATACAGCCCATACCCATACTAATACGAACTCCATATTCTATGAATCATTATATGTTGGTGATGTATCCCAGCATATCCTTAGTATTTTTCACCACTATTAAAAAAAAAGGACCGGATAACCCCACATGTCAACTTCTTCCAACAAGCAGCAAAAGAAAGGTAAAGATGGCATGGGAAATGCAGGAAAGAGAAAAGAGATGGTGAAGGATTGGCGTGTGCAACAAGGAACCCGTGTGTGAGCAAGTCGTGTGTGAGTAAGTTGTGTGTGGACAAGTTGAGTGTGAGGAAGTTGTGTATGAGCAAGTTGTGTGTGAGTAAGTCGTGTGTGAGCAAGTTGTGTGAGGACAAGTTGTGAGAAAGTTGCAAGGTGTGTGTGAGCAAGTTTTGCGTGGGCCAGTTGTATGTGAACAAGTTGTGTGAGGACAAGTTGTGTGTGGACAAGAGGGAGGAGGCTGCCACGCCTGCCAGTTGTGTGAGCAAGTTGTCAAGTTGTGTGTGAGAAAGTTGTGTGTGGACAAGTTGTGTGTGAGCAAGTTGTGTGAGGACAAGTTGTGTGTGAGCCAGTTGCAAGGTGTGTGTGAGCAAGTTGTGTGTGGACAAGTTGTATGTGGACAAGTTGTGTGAGGACAAGTTGTGTGTGGACAAGTTGTGTGGACAAGAGGGAGGAGGCCGTAAAGTGGAGGTCCATGTCGCCAAGTGCCACGCCTGCCACGCAAAGTGCCATAAGTGCCACGCCTGCCACGCAAAGTGGAGGTCCATGTCGCCAAGTGCCACGCCTGCCACGCAAAGTGACGCTCTATGTCGCCAAGTGCCGCAAACAGCGGCGGCGTCCACGGCGTCAACTGGGAACCAAGCACGCCACCAGAGCCAGCCCAGTGCCATAAGTGCCACGCCTGCCACGCAAAGTGACGCTCGATGTCGCCAAGTGCCACGCCTGCCACGCAAAGTGACGCTCGATGTCGCCAAGTGCCACACCTGCCACGCAAAGTGGCGCTCGATGTCGCCAAGTGCCACGCCTTCCACGCAAACAGCGGCGGCGTCCACGGCGCCAACTGGGAACCAAGCGTGCCACCAGAGCCAGCCCAGTGCCATAAGTGCCACGCCTGCCACACAAAGTGGTGGTCCATGTCGCCAAATGCCACGCCTGCCACGCAAAGTGACGCTCGATGTCGCCAAGTGCCACGCGTGCCACGCAAACAGCGGCGGCGTCCACGGCGCCAACCGGGAACCAAGCGCGCCACCAGAGCCAGCCCCGTGCCATAAGTGCCACGCCTGCCACGCAAAGTGGAGGTCCATGTCGCCAAGTGCCACCCCTGCCACGCAAAGTGACGCTCGATGTCGCCAAGTGCCACGCCGGCCACGCAAAGTCAAGGTGGATGTCACCAAGTGCCACGCCTGTGGAGAAGTTGTCTGTGGACAAGTATGTGGAGGAGTTGTGTGTGGACAAGTTGTGGAGAGTTTGTGTGTGGAGAAGTTGTGTGTGCAAGTTGTGTGGACAAGTTGTGGGTGGATGGAGAAGTTGTGTGTGGAGAAGTTGTGTGTGGAGGAGTTGTGTGGACAAGTTGCGAGAGCAAGTTGTGTGTGGACAAGTAGTTGCGTGAGCAAGTTGTGTGTGGACAAGTTGTGTGTGTGTGGACAAGTAGTTGCATGAGCAAGTTGTTGTGTGGACAAGTTGTGTGTGTGTGGACAAGTTGTGTGTGGACAAGTTGTTGTGTGGACAAGTTGTGTGTGGACAAGTTGTGTGTGGAAAAGTTGTTGTGTGGACAAGTTGTATGTGGACAAGTTGTTGAGGAGGAGGAGGAGGAGGCGGGAGGAGGAGGAGGAGGGCCGGAGAAGGCGGGAGTGCAGAACCAAAAACAAGAACCCCACACAAAGATGTGGGGAAAAAATACATTATGCAGAATGCATATATAGTCTACATATTATAAAACATTATAATTATACCCTGTATGTCTATAATTACTATATCATATCTTAGTCTATCTATCTTGAACTGCGCCCTCCATATTTACCTTAATTATATATATATATATATAGTGTATGTATGTATGTATTTCCCTCCGGTGATCAAACATGGCAATTGAAAATCCTGCATAAATATGATTCTAAGTGGTGGTTTGTTGGGGAAATCCTTTAAACTAAATATTTTAAATAACTAAATGGTGTTTTTTTTCTAGATTTTCCAGCACGCTAAACGGTTTGATCAGCCACTGCGCTGGCAAATCTGCACCTGGTGCCGTTGCAATTCCTCTGCCCGCTGCGCCGCCGCCAGGGCCGTCGAACGACTGGACGAGGCCAAGATCAAGTGCCACGTTTGGGGCACCTGCGAGAGGGCACCTGCCTCACACGGACCTCGGGGGTATGGATGGTTATGGTAGGCTATAATACAAGATGTTAAAGGCATTTAAAGGCCATAGTTAAACGGAAACATCAACAATTTAAAACTATCTATCTAGTCAAACGGTATTGTTTTGAGAATATATACGTAGTTATACATGGGGTTAAAATTCCTTAGATATGGGATTACACAAACTTATAAACCAACCTATAGCCGGAGGTGTCCGCACTGCAAATGAGCAGTGTGCAAAAATGTGCAAAACCAGATGGATTCTGGTAATCCACAATATGGGTGTGTCCGAAAATGGGTATACACTCCAAGTGACCATGTCATAGGGGAAGTGATGATTGCCCACTGGATGGATAGAATGGGAGACCATATTTTCAGACAAACCCATGGGGTGGTCATGGGCGGACCGCCGAACTCATCAACCAGCGAGGCGCTCTGGTAGCATATTGTGGTGGAGACATGAAAGATGACAACGATGACAGCAATGACAACAATGATGAAGATAAATATGAAGACCAAAACCAAGATGAACATGATCATGATGATGATGGTGATGATGATGATGATGATTGATTAAATATGATTGGCTATGATTCTTTATGATTATTTATGATTATTTCTTATTATGATGCGATGATTGTGATGTGATGATGTGATGATGTGATGATGTGATGATGTGATGGCAAATGCAATGCTCAAACACTTCTCAGGAATCGGTTGCCTCCTACCCATCCAGTTCCACACTACAAGTGTGACAATCTTCCAGCCCCCAACACTGTCCGGTTTCCAGGGGATATGCTCAAATGATGCAGCAAAAACTTGGACCTGCTTGAGTAATTAGTTCATTTCCCATTGGAAACATCAAAATCATTTCAACAAAAAGCACATACCTTCAGCAAATTCAAACATAATAGAGGCCTCCCGAATCTCCTGATCATCATCCAGAAGCTCTTCTTCCAGCAACAGCTTCCCCATCCGCGCGCGCAGGCCGAAGTGATCCACGCATGCATGGCGGACGTCGCTGACGCAACTGGAACGCCCGATGTCGACGTCCAAGTGCTCACCAGACAGGGTAACCTCGGGTGCAATCATGGCTTCCTGGGTGTGACCCAGGAATAGCGCGTGATTCGAATCTGATTAACATTGATCAACTCTAAATCCCCTTTAAACGGAGGTTTTCACAGGAAAATCAAGTATCAGTGGGGATGTTCAATTGCCACGTTTGACTGAGGGAAATTCACTCATACTTAAGTGGGGTAAATCCTAGTTGCCACCGGGGTTGTGAGCAGTGAAGTAGCCAGTTACTAAGTGCGATGCACATCTAGGATTCATGCACCTTTCTGACTGCGAGATCCCGGACCGGGTCATCGCAAATATGTTGCAACCTGTGCCCAACCACTTAGACTCACTACCTTTGCCATGGTCCCTTCCCATACCCGATTTCAAAACTCCTGGCTGAGAATGGCAATGTGCAGTAGAGTAGAGACGGTGCAAAAAAAGCGATCGTTCCCAATTGTCATCACAATTTAAGATGATTTCCTTCATGGTCAATCTTTGATAGATAAGCAGAATTGTATGTTCCAATATGTTCCACCAGTTTTGGCAAACACCCTCTGGTACTCAAACATGGCGTGCTGGGAAATCCTCTGTTCCTCTTAAAACCTCCACTCCAAAAATAGAGTATACCCATTCTATCCAGTGGTTTATCATCCTTTTCCCTTTTAAAATTGCTGTTTGAAGGGCATACCTTCAGACCGTTTGATTACCAAACTATAATTCCATTCATGACCATCATTATATACCCATTAACCATTAGTCACCATTAATCACCATCATTTACACATATGAACAACTTACTTACATATATAAAATAATAATAGCTAATTTTTCAAAAGAAATTATGGTCACTCACCGCCATTTAATCACAAGTAATCATCATTTACGTATGACCATTCTTCGATCATCCCATTTTCATCCCTTCGGCTGAGCTGCCACTCGCACCGTCGCCGTCGAGTCGTTCAATGTTTCATGGCGATAAGCCATGGCACCGGAGAAGCACCGGAGAAGCACCGAGTTGTGTTCTGCAAGATATTTTCACAGCCACCATATGTAGGGGAGACCAATGAAGAAAAGATAAGAAAAGTATGACCATTCTTATTGGAGAAATCTCAGACAAAGTACTTTGCAAATTTTGATGGATTTCAGGGTCAGTTTGCAGGCCTGCAGCTGGATCCCTGCCATTCTAAATCCGAGTATGTAAATTGGTGACGAATTGTGTTCCATCTTTGTTGGGGTCACTATATTCAGCAACTAGATAACTAGAAGCCTCAAACAATTCAAACGTCATGGTTACCATTCTTTAAAGTACGATATGTTTTTTTCATTTTTCCGGGGTTGCTAAAGTGCAAGAAGCAGGAGACAAACAAAGCAATTACCACATGTTCGTTAAAGCGACAACTTGGTCCATGTTCAACCCAACAAAACCTGAGACTATATGCATTCGAACCCATTAGTTTTGATTATGTTTTGGTATTTGCCATCGATCTCTCTCTCTCTGCAAATATATATATATTGCAAAATATAAAGTGGGTCAAGACACCTGCAAAATGATTCCTGAAATGCTGGGTTTCACGAGTCGCAAAGTCTTCCACAAGAAGCTGTGAGCAATCCATGTCAGCACATGCCAGTTGACCCGCAATGAGATCTGCTGACTGGTGAATTTCTTTGTTTGTATATTTCTTTCCCATTGATCACCCTGTAAACTAACATAGATGTGGGTGAAAAAGCCACGATCTATGTTGATCATTTTCTGAATAGCCATGGCTTTTCCACATCTTTCTGTATGTTTACCCCCAGGCTCCAGGGATTGTATCCCAACATGGGCATTTCAAGAAAAATATGGGATCCCCGCGATCCGTTCCTTGGATTCGGCCTGTCCACCACGTGGGAGTTCCCAGGCAGCTTCTCCTGGAGGTATCAGGGTCCAAACTCTTTGTCTGAAAGGTCATGTATGGTAATGTACTAAAAACTGCTAAACGCACTAATAAACCATCCCTAACATCACCATACATGGATGGTAACATATGGTAACTGTTGCTAACATATGGTAACTGTTGCCTATCATCCCATTCCCCAAATTCAAATGGTAGGTCTATTGTTGGGTTTTCTATATTGTACCATTCCATCCTCTGATTCGTCATCATTGTCTTTATTGACATGGCCATAGCCCAGGGGGTCAATGCCCCATCTTCAAACCATAACTACTTGTGTAAGCGGCAGATGCAACCACAAGACTGCCCAGAGACCCCAAATCTCTCCCTCCGCAACCAATAGTTGGGAGCGCACTTCCAATTATGAATGGACACACACACATGCATATAATCATATATATATATATATTATATATTCATAATGATATCACCATGGTCATAGAGCTTTTATCATATTGCAATTTACGGACTTACGGAGCTTATGACGATGTTCACCCATACACTCCAACTGCACACCCCAGCAGGTCATTCAATGACCCAGGTTTGAGCACTGAACCTGCTGGGAGGTGGGTTGGTTGAGTTGGTTGGTTTATCTTCCCAGCCGCCTTATCAGCTGATTCTATTTTCTCACTGTCTTATTATATTGTCAGGTGAGCACAACCGATGCTAAGCCTCCAGGTGATGGTATAAACTCGACCCATTTTCTGGTAAGTCATCGGCGATGGTTCAATTACTGGGCTTGCCACATTATAAAAGTAGGCAATAGGCGATATCAGCGATATCCCATATTTTGATATATTTTTTGTGGTGACATTCATATAAAACGAAGGTATATCAAATCTGGGTACATTGTAATAATTCACTAAATTGAATAGTTCGGCCATTTGCGGATCATTTCCCTTCTTAACCATGATTCCAGGGCTCGGGAGAACAGTGAGGTCGTGATGAAATTTACCCAGATCCAATGGCATAAGACTGAGAAACACCTCTACCCCTCCTGTCTCGAGATTGTAATAATAGGTCTGGCCATCGTCCGCGGTGACCGGACTCCAATAGCTGACAGGCAATGCCTGATGCCATTGATGATGGGGTTGAAACTTGACCACTGAATAGTGACTATTCTGGTTGGTGGTTTCAACCCCCTGAAAAATATGAAAGTCAGTTGGGATTATGATTCCCGATATATGGGAAAATAAAAATGTTCCAAACCACCAACCAGATATTTTATTGACAATCATGGAAATTCATATTCAAGTCGCGGGGGAAGAGAAGTAACAATAAGGATTTAACATGATTCAACCGACTTTGAATTGCTTGGTAGATTTTTCCCTGCCTTCATCCAGATCATCGTAGCAGTTAGGTTGGTGCACCAATGCCCATGGATCTGGGTACATGCGGGTACCATTTTTACACCGAAAAAAAAAAACAGAGAACAAAAACAAACGAATAAAACACTACTAGCCATGCCACCCTTGAAACTGAGATCAAACGATGGCCATTGATGTCCTGACATGAAAAAAACACTTAAGCTTTGCATATCCCACCAAAAGAACAACCAACACATCTGGCAATCAAATCTGCGGGCCAAAACTGGTTGGTGGATGAGCCTACCCCTCTGAAGAATACGAGTTTGTCAGTTGGTGTTATTACGGTATTCCCAACTGAATGGAAAAATGTTTCAAAGCACCAACCAGCCATAGTTGAAGCCATTTATAGCTGATTTACCCATTAAAAATGGTGATTAAGCCAATATATGGAAGTCATAAAATCATATAAAATCCATGTTCCAAACCACCAACCAGAAAACAACATTTCACCTGAACATCAGCGTCGTTTCGGTCTCATCTCCAGCCGTCTGAAACCATGCTGGGTATTGATCCAATGGATGCACATCCCAAGTCATAAATGGCTACCCGTGTGAAACAACGTTAAATAATTATGGAATGTCACTACAGGTAGATTCATGGCCTACATATATACATACATATATATATATATATACATACATACATACCAGCATGTTTGCATTGCTTAAAAATAAGTGATAATATGTTATAATGAGTTCTCCTCTGGTAATCATGGCTTGTTGGCAAAGCCACCATTTAGTTCGATGATAAACGCCCAGCTAGAGTCGCATCCCTTCAATATCTTTTAATCATTTCTCCCTTGGATTTTCCAGCCAGCCATGTTTGATGGAGCACCTCCCGGACACGGCGACGCAGATCTTCGTTGGGCACCAGCTGGTGCACCTGGCATAATGTGTGTGTATATGCACCTACATATACATATACATGTACATATACATATAAGTATGCATATACATAACATATACAAATACATATACATATACATTTGCATATGCATATACCCATACATATACATATACATATACATATACGTATACGTATACATATACGTATGCATATACATAACATATACATATACATACATATATATTTGTACATATACATATACATATGCATATACATATACATATACATTTACATATGCATATACATATACATATGTATATATATATATATATATATTTATACATATACATATATATATATATATACATACATATACATATGCATATGCATATACATATACATATACATATATATATATATATGCATATACATAAACATATACATATACATATACATACGCACACACACAATATATATATATGAATGATATGAGCTACCAATTAGTTATCAAATATTAATTGTAAAAATCAATTACTTACACAACCTATAATAATTGTCGTATGGTATGTATTCTTTCTCTTCATTAGAGTTTCTTTTGGATGTCTCTTTGTTATCATATATGACTTCATTCGAACCTGTATACTTTCTTAAGAATAAGATATTACTATTTAAATGCAGTACCTAAGTATTCTGAAATATTGCCTTATCAAATCGTATTACTATATCCCTGTACCAAAAATAATTTGAGTTGTTTTGTGGCCAAGATGTAGGCAGACTTATTTCATATGCAGATGATTTGGCATTGTTTTTATGTGGATGTAGAACGTGAATGTGTTGCTTGTTGAACATTAGAATGCATGTGAGTTCACCAACTCCAATCAGAAATGGTTTCCACCAAAAACCATGAACATTTACCAATGGAAGATAAATTTTCCAATGGAAAGTGCAATTTGAGGGCTCCGTGATGATTATAAATTATGGCTAATTGGTGCTAATTGGGGCCAATCAAGAGCTTCAAATCCACCAAACAATTCAATTTTGATCAAACAAGGGGATTATTATTTTGGCTCTGTGCGGGGTCTCGTTTTTTTTTTGGTTACCCCAAAGTGGGCAGGCTTAAAATCCAGAAATCGCTCCTCAAGTGCCTAGTTCTTGGCCATTTCTTGCTATTCCAATGAAGTTTTCTGTCCCTGCAATTTTTTCCAGTCCCTTAGCATGACCAACCTAAACGATACCACTTCGGAGAGAGAGAGAGAGAGAGAGAGAGAGCGAGAGAGAGAGAGAGAGAGAGAGAGGGAGAGAGAGAGAGAGAGAGAGAGAGGAAAAAAAATAGCAAGTCCTTCTGTAGTTGGATATTCCGCCCGTTGATCTCTGATGAGAAATTGCATCATTGACTCATACAAACAAAGTTGCCAACATGTCGAATCTAGTTTTTGCTCTGGGAGGTTTCTGGGCCTAGAGTCGCATCCAGGCCCTAGAAATCCATTTGGATAAACTACAGATATTAAATATGCACGATCATGCTTTGCTAAGATTCTGGATGACCGATAATGATCCCCTAAGCTTAAATCTGTGGCCATGTAATGTAGAGAAGTTACCCCGCTTCCATCCGGACACTATCTCATCATCCCAATTACATGTTCATTCTAAGTCATTACATTCCCGTTATCATCCCTCTGATATCCTCATTCCACCACCAGTTTTGTTGGTGAAGTCATTTTTTCCAGTTGCTAGCCCTTGTCGCCCTTGTCGCAGGCTCTGTGCTCTTTGGCGACTTGATTTGACTCAGTCCAACAAGGTTCAACCAGTCACTATTGCTGTGGTCAATGCAATAATAAAGCTTGAGAATGGTTGATTAAGCTTATTAGCTTACCCGCATTCCCGCTATAAATCGTACTTTTCGTCTTTGATGGATGGACCATGAGATTAGTTTTACTATATAGGTAGTATGGTGCGGGAACATGCGGGGGAGACCCTTTAACAATCACGATGTCCCACCAAAAAAGGATCAATCTGCTCCTGTCACCCGAGTTTCAGCGATGATTACCCTTCGATAGTAAGCAAACCTGGCCCAGGGAAGGTCACATGTGCATGATAGATCTACCTGGAACAAATGCAATACAATATGCAACATTCCACAAATCAAACATCAGCATGTTTTGGGGACGAGTCCCCCTCAAAATATCATCGTGGTAGATCTATTTAATTCCCAACAAGCTCTTCGAAACGGAAATGTTCCATGTGCAGGTTTGTTTACTAGAGGGAAAAACATTGCAGCCTTAGTGTGGCTGACATCTTCGAACGGGAAGAGCGCGCACAAGCCGCAGACCAGGCTTGAAGATGGTAAGAAAGTTGCCTACCTCTAAATCCAGTCCAGAAAAGAACATCAGATCACATATAGATACGATTTAAACAATATATGTAACTATATACATATATAGATCAATATCAAAGTACTGTAAACCTGCATCTGTTGTATATCTTAACTTGTCTGAATCAATCACGTGTGGATCTACAAGTACATAAATCGCTGATTCGCTGGCAAGATGACAAAACATGACAAAACCGTCTCTTTGATGCAGTCACACCGCACCATGAATGCTATGTGCCAGAACCCTAGTCTGGCCACGGGAAATTCCCGTAGATGATGTTCATAGTAGTAATATGTAGAAATGGGATCCTCTTCCAGGTAGCCATGCTCATCTTACGTGGGGGGTGATTACCCCTCCTTAGCGATCATGGCCATTCTTTGATACCCTGTACCTTTGTTTTCATATTTTTTGATCCATCCAAAGTTGACCCAGTGATGCAGAAAGACAACCCGACAGATTTCTTAGAACCATCTCCACCAGAGAGTGTCTGCAAAGGTGGACGCCGTGCTCCGCTCACGGTTTCTTTTGCGTTTGGATGGGCTTGCACCCTTCAACAAATAAAGAGTTGCAAAGAACCCAATAGATCTCCAGGAGATATTTATATGAACGCTAATGGCATACTGTAGAATAATTAAAGCAGGAAACACATCAAATTACACAAGCATGGATGGATTTGCCACTGGTATTTCACCAACATTTTGGTGCAAGCCCAGCATGGGCATGGGTCAACATGTCCAAGAAAGAGATGTCAAAAGAATGTGTTCACCTTCCTATGAATGTGCTCAATACATTGCATATATGTAAATATATGTGAACAATGTGTGTAAAACAATCATAAACCATCCCCAGTCATCACCATTTTTATAGGTACGGTGGTATGGTTACTTACCATTCCCAATCATGGGTGGTAAACATGGCATTGTTTTACCCACATTATATAATTAAATCTCCAATATTGACTCACACCCAAATTGGCCATGACTTCGCCACGGCCAAGCTGTGACACTCTGGGCGCGTTTCTGAACGTTTCTTCGCTGGACACGTCGCCTTCCGTGTTCTTCAGCGCCAAGGGGATGGGTCAAAGTCCGCTTTTGTATCGTTTCCCACCTATATACTCCTCTCAAAGCATATGAATTATATATAATTATATATATATATCATTAACATAAAGTATTAACACACACACACACACATATATATATATATACCTACATCTTCCCCAGTGTGCATTATTTCTGCCTTTTGAGGGTGTTCTGCCTTTTGTGCTTAAAAGGCGACTTTGCCCGACCACGGGCGACTTCTGCGATTTCAAGTAATTAGGGCCACCTTTTTTGATTGTGGCAGAAATCTCTCCATGTATCTCAAGGTTTTCTAGGCTAAATATGCCAATCCAAAGATAGGGCAATCTTTTCACCAAATTCCCTCAGATCTATGGGTGAAACTGGGTTTACTTGTTTGAAAAACTTCGCCAAACTGCAAAGCAACTGTTTGACAACAAAACAGGGCAGTAGCACAGCCCACACTTTCTTGCCTGGAATGTATATATATATATATCCTTAGTTTCCCATATCTTTGATTTTGGGCTGTGGCCAATGCAGGGCATTAGGCCCAGGCATGGTCATTTCGATCTCTCCCGCAAGAATGGGAAAACTGGTTGGAATGCCTTTGAATTGGGTTTTGCTGTCTGGAAGCTTGTAACCCTCAAAAGAAAAAACGTAGCGGGCGACTTTTCCCGACCCAGCGGCGACTTTTCGCGACTCAAAGGCGACTTTACGCGACCAACGTGTTTTATACATTATTTCCCATTGGGGCCGGGGCATGTTCCAGTTGAAGCCCATCCAAGGCCAAATTCAAACATGTTTATGTCAGAGCAAACTCGTGCAATTGCAGCAAGCGGGTGTGTGACAGCTGAGGATAGGCACATGAAATAGTTTGGGTAAAACAAAAACTTTACTGGGATAGCTTGGCTAAACCAAGAAATGCATTGGGATAGTTTGTACAAGCAAAGAAATTTGTTGGGATAATTATTGGTTAAACTTAAACGACTTAAACCAAGAAATTTGGTGGGAAAGTTTGGGCAAACCAAGACATATATGAAACATTATGAACTGTATTTAGGTAATTTGGGTAAATCAAAGCATGTCTAGTGGAATAATTTGGTTAGGGCAGTTTCGGTTTCATGATTTTCCGACAGGCGATTCTGAAGACAAAAGGCGATTCTGAAGAAATCGAGCAGAATTTTCTGCCTTTTAGTAAAAGAGCAAAACAAACGCATACCTGGAAGATCCAGGTATATATAGATATAAGATGTAAACCATGTACACTGTAGAGCAAATAAATAATGCAAAACCTCTGAAGTCATTGATTGACCCAACCACTTCTTCTGTCGCCTAAAAGGCGTCGAAACTTGTTTCGGTCGTTTCGGTCACACGGCACAGGCTTGGCCGATGGGACCGTCCTGGATCAAGTCCGACAGAAGCTGCAGCCTCAGCTAATAAGCCGATCGGTTGTATGGTCCGTCACATGATCATGGATATGTCCAGACATTTTTTTTTCACTAATCTAATCTATAGCATATCTATATAGAATTATATAGATAAAACAATAATCCATACCAATAAATACATAGAAATACAGAATTGTTGGCATAGATTATTGCATGAATATGATATTAATATGTATGCACAAATGCTATGCACATGATTTCAAATAAGCTTACCACAACATGTATAATCTCGATTATATACGTTTTGCGTTCGGAAAAAAACATATTGGTGTTTTTCCCGCTTTTCGTTGTGGGCCTGGGCAGGAACCACTTGAGGAGTTCCTCCAAGAGTTCCTCATAAAACTGCACCATGCAATCAGAAACTCTTTAACTGGCTCTCAGAATTCAGATTTATCTCAGCAAATCTGCAGAGCTTTTCCATTACCCTCTGCTAATCAAATCAAAGATGGCGTGCTGGAAAAACACCATTCATATCCATTCACACACACATACATACACACACACACATATATATATATATATGGTTGGTGGTTTGAAACCCTTCTGAAAAATATGACTCAATGGGAAGGATTATCCCATATATATATTATATTATGGACATATTATATATACATTATGGAACATAAACAATGTTTCAAACCACCAACCAGATATAGTCTATATATATAGTGGATGTTCAATTGCCATGTTGCCATGTTTGGTGACCTTTCGCTGTTCTTAATTTATCGTCTCTATGGCCAAGTCCCAACTCGCTGCAAGGAGCTGTTTCTTGATGGCTGACACGGAATTGGCCAGGTGCTTGATGACCTACCCACAGGATCCCTTGGGGGGACCTGCTCCTGAATTACCCTCTGGTAATAGAACAAATATAAAACATCTCCATCTCTATATGTAAATCTAGGAATCAATATATAAACATCAATTCTGCATAGGTAAATTGTCTATAAATATCTGCATGCAACATTATATAACTATATAAACTGCCATTTTCAATCCCCATGTGAGTTTACCAAAGGCTAGTAGTGCCGCTTGGTTCTTCCAACTCTGTCCACCAATGGCTTGGTCGGATGCCTATGGGTTTCTTCCTGAGTGTTTTCTTGATGTTATCAGGGGTTATCAGGTATTACCAGATGTTGTCAGAATTATCCTAACCCTCTGGTAAACATACAAAACAAAACATTTTGAACATATCCAACATGACTATTCGCCTAATAGGTAAACCACTAGCCATGTTCCATAGTAAACTCTTAAACTTGTCAGATGGCAAAATGCGAAGGTCCTCTCCATGCCCTGCGGCGTTGTCTGGTGGACCCGGTCGGACCTGTCTGGTGACCCTGTTCTCGTGGCTCATCTGGGCCATTTGAAGGCTCTTTGCGGGACCATGGAGTTGCATACATCCACTGACCTGGTTCTCTGAAACCATCGAGGTCGGGATCTCGCTCACCATGTTTGTGAGAGTTACAATTCTGAGGACAATCTGGCCCTTAACCTCCCCAGCTCAAACACAACAATCCCAGGCAGCATTGGCCCTTGACTCCCAAATGGGTGTTCAAGGTGTCCAAATGGCTCAAGGGGATCATTTGGATTGATTTATCAACATGGATCAACATATAACATAACGACGAAGTTGCAAAGTTGATAGGAAAAATCATGATTGGTAAACCGTGAAATTTTGGAGTAGCCCATGACAAATCCATGTTCCATTTACTGTTGCCGAACCAGGGACGGTCTCCTCCCGCCGAGGAGCAAATTCATCAAGATCGATCATTCCACCTGAGTTGAAGTTGAAGTTGAAAAATCGACATACATTTGCGCAACTTCAACCGACATCATTCTCCTTCAACTACAATGTCAACTTCAACTACAATGTCCATTGTGAAATCATCAATGTCCATTCTCCTTCTCTACGCGCATTTCTATGCATTTCTTGCTCCACCAACAGCCACTAAATCGCAAAAGATACACCGAACCAAGGGACTGCGGTCGGCGTCGATGATCATGAAAAGGGTGCTCACGTCTTGGGTGGAGATACCTATCAGGATCGAAGGAAGTCATCTGACCAAACTATCCATAGTTATATGGCCCAACTAGTGGACATCAATAAATGATGCCCGACATGGATGTTCATCTCGATAGTCATACTATGGTATGACATGGTAGACTAATGACTAATGCTTGATAGGTTATGTTATGATCCATCCTCAGTGATCTTTGCATGAGTATGCTCCAATATGTTCCGCGCTCATCAAATGACATCTCCTCGTGGCATGGAACAGTCCAAGCGTTGCAACAGGCGCAGACTGGACCATCTTATCATGTTCTTTTAAATCCAATCATGCAAATTGATCCCGTGCATCTGCAATGTCTGACGGTTGCAAAAAGCTGATACAACTCGCCTATGTAAGGGAATATACCCACAAAATATGGCCTTATTTGGTACTAACGTACCTCCATTTTAGGTTCCTGAAATGACCATTGATCCATTGTTTGCAGCCCTTGTTGTTTTGGCAAACCTTGGAATCCGTTTGCCAAAAACTCCCCTTGCGGCGGTTTACTCAGGGTTGCTCACACTATGTGGGCCCATGTTCAACCGAAGCGATCAGATTTGGATTCTGTTGAAATGGCCCCCTAACATTCAGCAAGCTTCTACATGGCCATAATACTCTTAGACTATCTGCAAGAATCTGACTTTCTAGTTGCTTATGGTCACAGGCTTAACACAACAAAATCAGAATGCCAACTAATCTTGTTGTGGCCGCCGCTGATTGCGCATTCCACAAAAATGTTCTCGATTTAAGGGTTAAGTTACCAAACCAATCAGCTCTACGTCTGAAACAAAACGATTCATCCCATCCCCCTATGGTAAACCAGCATAAATCAGCTATTTCTATGGCATCTATGGGACATGGCTTGCCAGAGGGTCCCCACTCCCCATCCGCCATCGCTGCCAAGGGGCCCATGGACTCTAAGAAGCTGGACCTCGTATGCATGGATGTATGTATGCACTATATATATATGAATTATATCTATCTAGATACACATGTATATGAGTGAACAAATGCCGAACACACACTATGTAATCTATGTAGGCAGAATCAATGATGACACAATTAAAAAACACTGTGTATAATTTTTTGTTATCTCAACGCGCACGAAAATCTATTACGTGCAAAAGCCAATGCATAAGCCATACCCGATGTCACCAGAACTGGTGGTATACACATGAACAATGCCAAATTGGAGGTGTATGGCATTGGGTTTACCACAGAAAGTCAGTTTTAGGTAGGACTTTCAATTCCCAACTCCTTTGATTTGCCTAAGGCGACCCCCCCAAAATAAACCGATAGATTCCCCACTTCTGGTAGATTTCCAAGATGGGAAAACTACAAAATCACCAAGGACTCTCATCACCAATATCCATCAATAATCCATTATTCACGAGGTAAATCACAATTTTTGGTTGGTTAAAAAACAATCCTGTTGATGGTTACCATCTAGTAATTTAACATAGCTATTGAAAATAGCAATTTGTAGTAGATTTACCCATTAGAAATTGTGATTTTCCATAGCCATGTAAGTTTGCCAGAAGGTAAATCGCCCAAATGGCATTAGTTGGTGAGCTATCTCCACTATGTCCACCTCCATGTCTAAGCTGCTGAATTCCCCCGGTTCATTGACATTCCCATCAAAAATACATACATATATATATAACTGTATAAATGTATAACTATCTATAGCTATGTATATATATATATGTGTGTGTAACATTACATTACTGTACATATATATAATTATATATATACAATTGAATATATATATTACATATTATCATATATATATATATGATCCGGTGTTCAGTGGAGAAACCACCATAAAGACTGCTTGGTGACATCCCGCATGTCTCCTGGTCAAAACCAAGTCAACATCCCATAAGGTCCCAACCTTATAAGTGGGTTTATAAACCCATCTAAGTATAGTACTATCATGTTATATGCCCCATAGATACCCCAGTCATTCCATCTAACTATAGTTTCTCATAATCCCCCATAGTTACCCTAGTTATTGCAGTTACAAACCAACTTAGCCAACGATTTATACTTCAATACCCCATAGTTACCCTAGCTATTGGAGCATGTTGGAGTTACAAATGCTAACTTAGCTATAGTCACCCCTAGATGGACATGAAACTCATCATCCAAGTAGGACTTTTCCATTGAGTCCCATGGCCCAAGGCACAGTTTCTTCGCGCTCAAGGCCTCCTGCAGCTCACCCAAGGTCACCTCAACCAAATGGCTGATTTCACCCTTAAAAATCACGGGAGATGTCCTACGCCATGGGGATATAATGGGATATTTTTAGGGGATCATATGGGATATAATTCACCAACTGCATATTTATATAAATAACTATATATATACGTATATATATATACACACATAACATGAGATTTGGGGGATTTGGGCAAAAGACACTAAGGGAATATTGATAGGATATAGATTGGAATATAGGTAACCAACGAGTATGATTGTGTGTGTGTCTGAAAAAAGGCTGCATACTATTCCCCCCGAATAATAATGTTGATAAACCAATTATGAACAAAAACAGTGGGTTTGGGGGTTTTCCAAAAACCTGACCTGGTAAAACGATCGGTTTTAAACAACACCATCTCGTTTACCCAATGCCTTACCAAATATGGGTGGTCTGTGGAAACCAGGCCCCAAAACGAGAGGCTATAGTTATGGATCAGTGCAGTGAACCGCCAAGAAATGATGCGAAGTCGCATGCGACGATTTGTCGTGATCAATCTCCTTGAAAATATGTCGTAGCGCCTGAAACGCCGGAGAACCCAGTTTGGCCGGGTTTTGTTACAGTTACCTTTTACAGCTTTAGCTGGACAACCCCCCGAAAAAAAAAAAAAACACATGGTTTCAAGTGACAGTGAGCAGTGTTCAAAAGCATTTTTACTGGGTAGTATAACTCCCCTACCAGTATAATTTGTATAATCATCAACCGGCAGGGGTATAGATTGCAGCCACTGAGGTGAGGAAGATGGCGTTGATGATTCCCCCTCTGGATATTTGACAGTTTGGAACATGGCCCATTTATGAATGATGCAAGACGATTTAACTATTAAACATGATGAACTTACTTGATGATTAAACACATATGCATGATTTCACAACATGCCGCCGTCACCCCTGCAACATCAACTGTTTGGCTGAGGGCTCATGCAGATTTTTATCATCCACCACAGTGACAAAACATCCCCGAAGAAAGAATCACCGAAAACACTTCTCAACCATGGTCCCAGACTTGGCTCCAAAAAAAATCTAAGAAGTCCTAGAGGACACCCTCACTTATTGTGGATTGCACGATATCGCAAAGCCATTTTTTGTTGCAGGCAAAGCATGAGTCAGGCTAGGGCCTGGACATGGATGAAGTAGGCTCATTTCTTGATATTCGAATTCCGAAAGGAAGGCTCCTGGTGTAGTATTTGATCTTAAAGAAATGCATGTGCAATTCTCATTTCAAAGGGAACTGATGGGAATCCACAAAAATCAAATCAGCATAAATTAGCTGTATAATTCCCAAATCATCCCAAAATGTAAAGCTTGGTCGGCCATTTGTGAGGTCGCTGTACATAATTTGTTTACACAGATCCCATCCGCAACCACCCCATCCCCATCCCCACTCATATACCGGTTTGCCTGAAATGGATGGTCCCTCAAAATTGATTTTAAGTAACGAAATGAAACAAACCCACATCCCACATCCCTAAATTTCGATCAACCCGCATCCCCATGTTTAAAAAACCTCTTCCACGTAGATAAATCAGGGTATGGTGCCACCATGTGTATCGATCATTTCCTTGAGAAACCACGGGAAACTCCGATGTCTATGTTTTCGATGTCCTTCAGGGCAAAATAAAAACATAGGACTTGCATGTGTTTATCACGTATCGTGCTATAGTGTTTTTTTGTAAAATAGATGTGTTTGTATTAGTTTTTTCCTTGCCTGTATGATGTGAGAAGAATAGTTTCACGGAAACTAATCAAACTATATGCATATAACTGGAAACCGCGGAAGTCACACATGGGGGGGAACGCTTTCCTCATGGAACTCCACGCGCCAACAGGTGAAAAAAATCACGCCAACAATTTCTCCGCTATTGGCACGCAGACGATTTTTTGATAGAAATTTGAAATGGGAAATTCATGGAAATTCTGAAAATGGTAAAACCCCACGAGAACGCAAGTTGCACCAAAGTCAAAAATATATGTTTTGGAATACTTTTAACATGTGTTATTGTGCAAACCCCATTGTGAACGCATCTTTCATGGGGGTCATGGAAATGTATGCTGTGAATATCTTTCCTTTTCTTTCCTTTTCTTCCCCTTTCTTTCCTTTTCTTTCCTTTCCTTTTCTGTCCTTTTGTTTCCTTTCATGTCCTTTCCTTTTCTTTCTTTGCTTTTCTCTTCTTGTCTTGCCCTTTATTTCACTGTTCTTTTTTATTTCTTACTTGCTCTTCGACATCGACGTTTCAGCAAATGTAAGTCTATGACTGCTCCCGCATGCTCCCACGCACGTGAACGCAAGTTGGAGCGACTTTACCTAAAGCTTCCCCCCGAGCTAATCGCAACATTTATCCAAAGTCGGAGCGACTTCGACAAGTGTGAGTAGAGTTATTTGTTAAATCTGTTAAATCATGGGCAAACCAAGAATATTGATCAAACTTGCAAAATCAAGAACCATCTCCGTCCAGTAAATTAACGGACTGTGACAACTACATTTGTTTTACTGGAAACGAATCTTCCAACCGGGTCTTCATGCTAGCTGTAGGATGGTATGTTAGTAAGTGGGATAGTTTACCCCAGTCACAACTGGAATAAGATGGACTAAGCCTACTTGTCAATACCATCTGGTAATTGCAGTAGGGAAAATTGACTTAATAGGGTATACTAACATGCAATCTGGTAATTTTTCTGGTAATTTAACTGCCTTCTTTGGAAAATGGACATTCTTCAAAACGGTCATCGAACTCAACCGGCCATCGCCAGCCCGCAAACTGCAACACACCACCAGGTCGGGCCTGCACTTGCGCGTCGTGCTTGCGCATCTGCTTCATGATGGCCTAGGGACCAACATCAGCCATAGCGGCCAATGGGGATCCTGGTGGTTACGAGCCAAAATGAGGAGTTGGCTATAGAATTAACCATCAAATCTGAATTGGATCATCAAACGTTAGGGTTATTAACTATCATTAACTATCAAACATTAATTAGAAGTGATTCAACCACCAAACATAGACATTGAAACAATGAAAGCACGGAAAACGGCGGAGCAGGCCGGAGCAGCCAAAACCCACTGCGCAAGGTTCCCAGGTTCCCAGGAAGGGGTTCCCAAGCCAGGTTCCCAAGCAAGGTCCCAAGCCAGGTTCCCAAGCAAGGCAAGCAAGGTTCCCAGCAGGTTCCCAAAGGTTCCCAAGCAGGTTCCCAAGCAAGGTTCCCAAGCAAGGTTCCCAAGCAAGGTTCGCAAAGGTTCCCAGGAACAGGATCCCAAGCAAGGTTCCCAAGCAAGGTTCCCAAAGGTTTCCAAGCAAGGTTCCCAGGATTAGGTTCCCAAAGATTCCCAAAGGTTCCCAAGAACAGAGGTTCCCAAAGATTCCCAAAGGTTCCCAAGAACAGGTTCCCAAACAAGGTTCTCAAGCAAGGTTTCCAAGCAAGAGTTCCCAAGCAAGGTTTCCAAGCAAGGGTTCCCGAGCAAGGGTGCCAAGAACAGGTTCCAAGAACAGGTTCCCAAGCAAGGTTGCCAAGAACAGATTCGCAAGCAAGGTCCCCAAGCAAGGTTTTCAAGAACAGGTTCCCAAGACAGGTTTCCAAGCAAGGTTCGCCGGAAAAGGTTTCCAAGGACAGGTTTCGAGAACAGGTTTGCAGGAACAGGTTTCCAAGAACAAGTTCCCAAGCGAGGTTACCAATCAAGGGTTCCCAAGCAAAGCTCCCAGCAACAGATTTGCAAGCAAGGTGTCCAGGCACAGGTGTCCAAGCAAAGTGTTTGTTGTTGGTTTATCTCAAACAGCTCCCAAACATCATTCCAACAAACAGTTGTTGACTCTTTCATATATATATATATATAATAATAATAAGTGTTGCTGTTGGGGATATTTGTTGGGCTTTTTTTTTCGCGGCGCCAGATTTTTGCGCTTAAAGCCATCAGATGGTTCTACGATTGGTTTCTCCATTGTCATTGGGGAGCAGTCACAGATCATGTTTGAAACCACGAGCTGGAAATGCGCGAAACCATCAATCATTTTTTTACGCCTCCGCTTGTGTCATGCATCTAACCAACCAAAATAACCAAAACCATACGATATTTTCTCGGACAAACAATGTATGGTTGGAATCTTATGGAATCTTGGTGGGTCCATCTGAACACACCATAGTTATATAATTAATATATAGCGGCTGGACTTGATATACAGTAACATCCAGTAACAGTATGTCCATGTAAACAGCTTGCCGGCACTCAGCAGGGAGCTTCACGATCAATCTCCATGAAACAAAGGTTTAATAAAACAATGGATACCCCAAATCATCCAAGTCAAACCACTTTAGTATTGAAACAACATGAAACAACCATGGTTTTGGGGCCAGTTTTGGGGATAGAATCGGATAAAAATTATTTTGAGAACCCCCAATGAGCGCATCCAACTGGCGCATCCGAGAAATTCCAGTGCCAAAAGGCAATATCCTTGTCCGACTGGGCAGACTCAATCGCCGTATTGCCTCATCGGAGTGCAGCACAGTCCATCGACAACCCAAGCTGTAGGGACTCACTGCATTCCAGTAGGTGATTCCAGTGAAGATTTTTTTTTCCCATGATTCACTCACCGTAGGTTGACTCAGCCGGACTCAACGCTGTTGGATGTCAGGGAACGAGGAACCAACTCACCGTTTCCTGATCCCCATCAGCAGTTTCCTTTAAAGGAATTGCCGAAGAAAAAGACAGTGTCTGGAATTTGGAGGCCATGTTTTCAACAGTAAATACAATATGAGTATACATATATATATATATATACACATATAATCTATTAATATATATATATACATACAATGTATGTGACATGTGTGTTTATATATGTAGTGTATAGACTCTTAGACGTCGGCCAATGGCAACTTGAAAAGAAACACAATTGTTTCAGATCCCATGTTAAAGGTGTTGAATCCTTGGACGTCAAACCACCAACAACGCTACAGTAAGCAAATAAATTCCAAAAACAACCCCCAAAACTGCTGGCAGAAAAATGTGACAGCACCATCCCACTCATAATTGCTTTCACGCCACAGAAAACGCCGGTGACAACCTGAGTTCGTCGTGGTTTGAACTTGCCCCAGATTTTTTTCTTTTGCAATCTGCGACGGCGCTTCCCACCGCCAAAAACGGCTCCGGAGCAGTGGTTCAAATCCCTCCAAGAATCTCAAAAATACATTGCAGCCACGGAACATTCAAAACAGCAAACACGGTCAGAATTATATACCTTGGATGGGCACACTTAAGCCCTTTGGGGGATACGGGCATATGAATGAGCTGGTGCAACGATAGGGAAATAGAAACTTGAAGATGGGCAACGGACCACCAAATATTCACCACAGGGACCTAAACAGTCTGACAAAAACATTGAAGTTTGTCTGAAATCAGGGCACCCCTTTACCCTAAACTAGCATAACTATGGAGAATGACGCATTGGCCTCAAAACATCTCAAAACCACATTGGTCACCAAATGATCCCCATCTAAATTGCCGTGACTTGGGGGTTCCAAACTCCAAACTTTCGTGGATCCATCCAACTTGAACCCAGTCACGGTGTGGTTCCACTTGCATACTTATTTGAAGTGCTGTCGGCCTGTGAGGTAAATTCATCCATCCACTAAAGATGTCACTACTTCCAGGGTCATCCGGTCAGCCTCGCTTGCAACGACGTACTAAAAATAAATCTAACATAAGCAAACGCAACCGGGTTACAACCAACCCATGTCACTGGTGGACGTTGGTTTAGTAGATCTTAGTAGCTAGTCACAGCTAGTCAAGGCCCTGGTGAACTGGCGTTTGCACCAAAGCAATGGCTGCTGTTTGTGGACGCTCATCCGCCTGTTCATACTAGAATGGAACATCACAGGTTTGACCAAGCCCCACATCATTCACCATCTGACCAGGAAAAATCCTAGTTCATAGATGGGTGTCGCATTAAATATATATATATATATATAATCCCGTCTAATATGCAAATCAAAAAACACAGACATAATATATATATATATATTGTAAATATGTAGACCCACACCACATAGCTTGTATCGAAAATCCAAGGCCCCTAAAATCCGATTGCTTCTGCACATGTTTTCCACCACCATGGGGTAGAATCCCAACAACTGGATCATCACCAAAAATTACTTTACTTCGAGTTATCCCCACCATGACATTTATACGTTTTGTTACTGGCAAATCTTCTGGCATTCTATCTGACATATCTTCTGGCATTTTATCTGGCATACCCTCTGGCATTCTATCTGGCATATCTTCTGGCATATCTTCTGGCATTCTACCTGGCATATCTTCTGCAATATGTTCTGGCATATCTTCTGGCACTCTATCTGGCATATCTTCTGGCATATCTTCTGACATTCTGTCTGGCATTCTATCCGGCAAATCTTCTGGCATTCTATCTGGCAAACATTCTGGCACTTTGTCTGGCATATCTTCTGGCATTCTATCTGACATTTTATCTGGCATTCTCTCTGGCATACCTTCTGATATTCTATCTGGCATATCTTCTGACATTTTATCTGGCACATCTTCTGGCATTCTATCTGGCATATCTTCTGGCATTCTATCTGACTATCTGGCATATCTCCTGGCATTCTATCTGACATATCTTCTAACACTCTATCTGGCATATCTTCTGGCATTCTATCTGCCCGTTGAGGTCCAGCGGTGCGCACTGAGCTGGGGTCCAGCGGTGCACACTGAGCTGGGAAGGTCCCAGGTTGAGGTCCAGCAGTGCACACTGAGCTGGGAAGGTCCCAGGTTGAGGTCCAGCAGTGCGCACTGAGCTGGGAAGGTCCCAGGTTGAGGTCCAGCAGTGCGCACTGAGCTCGGAAGTTGGCGAAGAGCTTGGGGAAGTAGAGGTGGAAGTTGATGCAGACATGGTCGAAGAGAAACTGGAGGAGGAGGCGGAGGAGGCGGAGGAGGAGGAGGAGAAGGAGGCGGAGGAGGAGGAGAAGGAGGAAGAGGAGAGCTAGTCGAGGAGGAAGAGAACAGCTCTGATAAAATCTAACAACCCTCACCTGGCAGGTGGGGAAAAACTCACGAAACTAAACCAGTTCAAAACGACAAGTCGTGTTTTTTTCAGGTAAGTGGCCATGATTTTTTCCTGGGGTTCATCAGTTGTTCATATGTTTTGTTCCATGTGTTCCAATATTTTTCCCCATCTATTCCCATATGTTTTCCATGTTTTCTCCATAGTTTCCTATATTAGTTCCAAGTTTTCCTAGGACTCCCCTTGGATCTCCATCGATTTCGTCATCCTTGACCCTTGACCTTCGTCCAGTCGCAGGATGAACAGGACCACAGCCAGGGCAGAGACGTCCCGAAGAGGTCGAAAGGCATCATCCCAACCTCTTCGCTAAGTCGTGCTGGAAAGTGGACCATAGCTTGTTATATATATATACATATAATAACGGATTATTATATTGACACCCATTTAATAGTGTTCATTTATAACATCTATTTATCCATCTTGTTATATTATTGTTATAAATCCACTATAATAGTCTGGATGGAAAGTGGAATTTCTGTTCTGGGTGATTATATAAAGTCTTCTAATTTATTTATCATCACTATTATTATGATGACTATGATTTCTGGATAAATGATTTATGATGATTAACATGATTGATATGGGACAAGAGTGGGATAAGCATAGGATAATATCTGGAAAGAATGCGAACACCGTAGGATAATCACCCCTTCTGCTGCATGCTCCATATAAGGAATACTTAGCGACATTTAGGCTATTTGGGGTAAATTTAAATAAACATTCCATAGATGGAGCATCTGGGCATGGGATAATCATGGGATAATATCTGCAAAGCATCAAGGAATGAAGCTGATCGGAACGAAAAAAAGAGCGGGAGTCGGCGAGATTTTTTGATGCCGTCGGTGGATGGACATCATGAAATAATCATGGGCTATGGGACAATGGGATTATAACGGGATATTGACATGCAACCAAGCTAAAGTAAAAATGACCATTCCCTTTAAGCCTTTGTCGGGTTTGTTTTTTGTCTCTTACACATTCCTGATCCATGGGGAAGAGATATCCAGGAGATCCAGCGAATATTGGCGTCCGTGCCGTAAAGCAGTTTTGTGTCCATTGCCTTCAAAGAACATGAAAGGGTGTGATAACTACAACTGTCTACACAAAGTGACTACCCTCATGTAATCACTTCCAGACTTCCATGACTTGCTGGAAAATCTGCCATTGAGTTCGATGATTTCCCGGCGAACGAAACCTCCATGTCGTGCGGGGATTTCCAGCCAGCCATGTTTGATGACACCTGCGGGTAACACAAACCTGCTGTTTCTGATGGCCATTGGAGGCCGGCAGGGTGAATCATGGATGCGACATTTCACAAACAAAAAAATGCTTTAGATCTAACCAGCAAAAAATGTGAATTGCATCACAGTTTATAACTTACAAAATCCTGATGTGCTCTGATTTTTGAGATTCTTCAGTCCGGTGAGAGCCCAGCCCAACCTTCTTGGATCAGATCAGCCCCAAACGACCCTTCTTACATTGATTTGCTATTGGAACATGTTGGCTCTATCCACAAACTTTAGTGCCCCAGAGGTATTTCACATGACATTCGGCCAAACTTTAGCCAACTATGTCACTTCAGGATGGGACGATTTTTGCATGGGAAAGCAAGCCCTGACCCGATTCTTCTCTGAGGGACTGAGGCCGCCAGAGATGGCTAAGAGTAGGGTGCACATGCTTTCCTGCGGGCAGCAGTTTTTTCAATTTTATCCCTCTGGGAGGATCATCCCACTTAAGTATTTATATATAATTATAAGATATTATAAGCCATGTATATATTAAATAAATGTATATATATATATACATATGGGATAATCCACAGAATGGAGACTTACTAACCAGGGTTATTAACGAGTTACTAAGTGAGATGATCCTCCAAGTGGTAAACTCACCGTTTGCGATGGACATCACCATTAAAATTGCTGTTGGTAAATCGGTAAATCAGGAAACCTAATGGGCCATCTACAACATAACTATGTTAGTTTGCTGGAGTGTATTTGGGAGGATGCGAACATGTGTCATTGGGTGTAACAACGAATTCCCCAATTATAGTATACTACCACATCTCTGATCTCCATCTAATACGGGAAAAAAACAAGTTCCCCATCATCCCCCTCCCAGGTCGAACCGGATTTCATGTTGACATGGCCAGCCACTTCCCGCTCCGGAACGTTTTTCCAGAAGCGGACCAAGAGCTCTTCACTGCATTCTGGGATGGCATTGCCTTCAGGGACGATGCTGAAGATCATAGGAACCGGAAGTGGCTTGCTATGGGTTGCTGTTACCCAGTGAATATAACGGACCCATGATCTCAAGGGGTATAATGAGCTTTTTGATGCCTGAAGACCTGAAGACTAAGCGAATAGTTAGTCTCAACCTCTCGGAACCAACCGGATCACCCCAACCAAAGCTTACGCGTAAAGACGGTGCATTCTTCCCAAACAGGATTGATCAACTGTTCAATGGGGAACAATATCAATAGTAGTAAACCCTGAGCAGGGACAATAATCCAGATACAAGTACCAAAACAAATATCCTCTGGTAAACTAACATCGCTATGGAAAATCACCATTTTTAATAGGTAAATCAACTATAAATTTGCCATTCTCAATAGCCATGTTACAAATTACCAGACGGTGACACAACAAGAAAGACTCCATGAAAGATCCAACTCTAGCTAGGGAAACATTGACGCATGACAAGCAACATGTAGATACCACCCCGCGCGCCAAAAGAATAACACATACTTGGCCCAAGACGATCCAGAACACGACTGTCACAGCAGAAATTGCATGTTTTCCTGATTTCGTTAGTAAACATATGGTGGATGGTTGCGAAATTCTGCACCAGTTGATAGGTGGTAAACATCCCATTATTTTGTTTGGGTTTCAACCATCCTTTTGGTGATGCAGGTTTCTTTCATCCACTAGCAGACTAGCACTGGCTGCTGGTTTCAGCCCTGGCTTCCAATGGCTCGCCCACCAGTCGAAAACATTGGCACTATAAAACTAGTTTCATAACACATATGGAGGTTTCCTGAAATGGGGGTACCCCAAAATGGATCAATATGGATGGTATATATTAAGCAAACCTCCATATTAAGAATAACCTCCACAATCAAATGTGGCTAGCTGGGAAATCCCTGCGCTGGAGGTTTTAGTGGGACAATCATCAGATAAATGGAGGATTTTCCAGCAAACCATGGATCTAGAGGGGATATCATGAAACATTAGGGGTTGATAAATATTGGGACAATAATTTGGATAATAGTGTGATCATACTGTGATGATATCATAATTGTCATATTACTGCCGTGATTCATCATCATATTATATCATCATTATGTAACTGGTTGGTGGTTTCAGCCTCTGAAAAATATTAGTCAGTTGGGATGATTATTCCCAATACAATATACATATATATATATATATTTATATGTATATATATATTTATATGCATACGGAAAAACATGTTCCAAACCATCAACCAGTAGTGTTTATATATTCCATGTTTAATGGGAAAATTCACTATAAATGGACATTTTCAATTGCGATGTTAGAAATTACCAGAGGGCATGTCAGTATGTCATCCATGTTCCGGAGTTTTTCACCATGTCATCCTACGATTTTCATCATTTCAACATCAAGCTTTGCTGGGTCGGTCCCAGGTGCTGTCGTCCCGCTTCGTGATGGCTTCAAACCTGCGGGCCATGGCAGCCGAAATGCCAAACTTCTGGATATGGGATGGGTTAAAACCTATTATTTCCACAGGACTGGGGGTACCAGCTATTTTTGGGGTAATTACAAATGTACCAGGTTTTGACCAACCGTATCTTACTTGGATAATGAAAAATCCCACCAGTACGCGTGGCAATGATTTTCCCACATCTTTCTTCATCTAATTACTGAGTCTAGAGGAACTGTTGTAAGCGATGTCTGTTTTCCAGAATGTACCAATTACAGAAACCCAATAGAATGTTAATTAAGCATCTTTTTGTTTACAGTATCTGAATATGCCTTACCCCATTTTGAGACACACCTATCTGCGATTCTTCCCTGGGAAAAACAAGAATTCTCCCTGCCACTGAATCAACCGGCCAACAAAAATATCCGCCGGCCTGCAATGGTCCGAGACGATTTGCGTCAAGATGACGCCAAAGCCTGAGATCAATTGTCATGCAAAAATTGACACAAAACAGTTGGTAAAATCTGGTAAAATCCAGAAAATAATGGTCATTCTTTACTGATATTATGATGTTACATGTAAAAGAAGGATGCTACATGTTCTGATATTTTTGTTGGGAAGAAACGCTGTCCAATGTTGTTTTTCGAGACGTTTTGAGAATGCTTTAAGGGTGCAAGTTGATCCGCCCTTGTCCATGGTCGCCATCCAGAGATTGGGCCAGGGCAAGTGGTGAACAATGGATTAGGGGATCATCAGATTATGAGGGGATATACACCCAGATAATCATCAGTCAACAGGGGTTGAGGAGCCACTGCTCAAAGGGGGTGGCAATGCTCAGCGGAGCCGACTGGTGGGTGATTTTACCAACCTGAGCTCCTCCGCTACCTAGACCTAGCTCTGAAACCCCCACTTGGTAATGAACATAATCACGATATATCCACTTATGTATTATGATCATATGATAAACCATACTAGTATGTATTAAACCACTTGTCTTAATCACGATAATAAACCATATGTACACATTCGAAGAAAAGGGAACAATACGTAGTCCACAATACGTTTTACATATTAGGCTTTGCCGATGGCTTACCTCGATCGAATCGATCAGGTTGCCAGAGGCTTTTGTTCAGACCCATGTTGTGAGAAACCGAGGAGCTATAAAACAGCAGCTGCAGCAGGACCAAGGTCCACATCAAGGAGCCTTGGTGACGCCAACGAAACGGAATGGATGGGATCCATCAAAACTTGGTATCCCAAATAATGGCTATGTGTGGAATATTATTTGTTTTGGTATCGGCACTAAGGGAGTACAAAGTGTCATAGTGATTTTAAAGTTTACTAGGTTGGAATTTTTGCAGCCAACAAAAATTAAGGGAAACATAATGATGAAACTCCAGGAAACTGGGCAGACATGCGTCATTGCGATGGCCAGGTGTCTACGACATGTGGAGCCAAAGAACCTCCAGCTAGTTCAATATAATTAGATAAAGAACCTATATGAAGCCATATGCATATGTGTAAAGTACAGTATTTCAAACATCAGTGAATAGTGCATCCATTTTGTCGGGGCGCATCCCTTACACCGATTGCAAGGATATTCATCGTGGAACCGCGAAACGATCAAACTCAATCAGAACAACAATATCTGGAAACCCATTTCCGGTGCCAAACTATCCACAAACTCTCTGGGAATTCCTGTTTGAAAGCTATTTTCCGGGCTTGATGGTCCCTGAATTTCAAGCAAACTCCATCAAGATCTGGCCCAAGAGACCCATGGTACTGACAATTGAAAAAACCAATGTGCGCAGGGCGCTCACATACCTGGTGCTGCAAACACATGGGGTCGCGGCAAGATGATGCAGTCAGAAATCTTTCCAACGGAATGATGGGTTTGATTTGGTTACAACCAACAATAAGATATGAGATAGCGTAAATATCTTATTCATATCTTATTCATATACCAATGTTGATGGTTTCAATCACCATGTGTATTGGTCAAACCCAATTTTACTGAAAAAAACACCCATTGCATATCATTGTATCCCCATGGCACCTCCATGAATTGAATGGTCATGAATCCCTCCGCTGGGGTGAGCTGCTTCGCTCAAGTTTTGAAGTGGATGATGAGAGATTGAACAAAAGTGTTTTTGGGTGACTACCCTCTGGTAATTAAACATAGCTATTGACAATGGCCATTTATAGTTGGTTTACCTATTAGACATGGTGATTTTCCATAGCTACGTTAGCCTACCAGAGGGTAGACTGATTCCTGTTCCGTTGGAATGCTTCAACCCGGGTTTTCCAGAAGTAGGCTTGGATGCCAGCATGTTCGTACAATGTCGTATTACTGAGTCATCAGGGCACATGGCGGGGACGTTGGATCCTGTTGAATTGGACATTCAGCATAGAATTCAGCCAATCAACCCCAGTTTTTCCAGTATCCAATGGGATATTGCAGGATGTGTTGCAATGCCGGTCTACGAATCGACTTCTGGACATGATCACACATGTATATATTCAAGAAAGCTACTTGGGTGCTGGGTCCTGTCCAATGTTTTGCAGGCTATGCCCCATTATTTTTGCTGGTGGCATCCTAGTTTTAAGCCATGTTTCTTGAGTGAATTCACTGTTTCATCCATTATTCTTATTCTTTATTATTTATTACTGTTATTATTGTTATTACTATTATTTTTGTTATTACTATTGCTATTCTTATTTTTGTTATTGTTATTACTAATACTACTACTATTACTATTACTATTATTTATTACTATTACTATTGCTATTACTTTTACTACTATTATTATTACTATTGTTAATTAATGTTATTATTGTTTTTACTATTCCTAGTATTATTATTGCTATTTTTGTTTACTGTTATTGTTGTTATTTATTACTATTATTTATTACTACTAATTGTTTTTTTATTACTATTACTATTGTTTTTTTACTATTACTATTATTATTTTTCTATTACTATCATTTTACTATTTTTATTGTTATTACTATTCCTGTTATTATTGTTATTATTTATCACTTTTATTATTGTTATTATTATTTATCACTATTATTATTGTTATTACTATTCCTGTTATTATTGTTATTATTTATCACCTTTATTATTGTTATTATTATTTATCACTATTATTATTGTTATTACTATTGCTACGGTAACTACTTTTAAATATAAGGATTTTTTAATATACGAACAGGTATTTTAGACTTCCTCTGGGAAGGTTTTCCTTGGCCCGCCCAGCTATTTAAACATACGGAATCCAATTCATTTAAACATACTGCAACTACATTCAAATATACGAACTGGTATTTCATACTGCCTCCGGGGCCTCGCGGTCTGGCCCGGCCTCCACATATTTAAATGTCGTTACCGTATTATTATCGTCATTATTATTTATTACTATTATTACTATTATTATTATTATTTGAACCCTTATACTAATCCATTTTTGATTATGCAATCCAATTGCTCATCCATTTGTGTTCGTGTAATCCAATTGGTCCTCGCTAATACAATTTCGCCATGACAGATACCCCTATTTCATCAAATGCTGTTTGCTTAACAGATATATCTATGAAATGGGTTACAGTAGTTCATAGTCCCCGATATATAAACCACGGCTTAAGAAACTCTGATGGTAGCTGATTCCCCCATGGGAATACGGGAACGATAGCTCTGAACCGCTCCAAAAAATCACTGGATAGTTAATGCTTCCATTTCCCTTGGGTACTATATACCATTAGTTTATATTCTATTTAAGTTGCAGTGATTGTATTGACCGTACTATTTTGCGGAAGTATGCCGCTATATCATTATTTTGTCCCTAATTCTTATATCCCAATTTTACATTATACCATTGGGATGTATCCCAGGAAGTATCACTTGTTAAAACCCATGATCACCATTCTTGTCCGTTATCCCATTCAAATCTGCCTGAACTATAAAAACTCACAAACCTAAAAATACCTGAACAGTTCGGCCATTTGGGGATGATTCCCCATATATAAACCATCCTTTCAGTGACATCAGGTGCGGTCATGATCAGATTCATCCACATAATTAATCACGTTTGTTGGTTGTACACAAGGACACATCACCTTTATATCCCATTAAATCAACATTTTTTGTTGGCAATACCCCAAACATCCAACCTTAACCACTTGATAGCGTCTAAGTGTCTAAGATGTCTTCAAGATATGTCCATTCATTTTGTTTGTATGATATGTCCTACTATATACTATCATACTAACATGTGATAGACACTTAGACACTTAGACACACCCTTTTTCTGATTGCCAAAGATATCCCCAAGATATGTCCCTTAGATACTTCCTAACCAGAGCTGCTGGTGATGAATTTGAACCCCAAAAAAAGGTCCAACTGGAGATATAGTCTCTATATAAGATAGAGCGATATTCCCCATTCATAGTGTCTGGTTGGTGGTTTCAATCCCTCTGAAAAAAATATGAAAGTCAGTTGGGCTTATTATTCCCAATATATGGAAAAATAAAATTCATGTTCCAAACTTTCCAAACCACCAATCAGATTATATAATTATGTAGGTTTGGCAAAGCATAGCCCAGAAACATTAAGCTACTGAAGCTGATAGTGTTTAAATATTCCCCATTCATAGTTTTTATATATTCCCCAAAGCTGCTGCTCCACAACACCACTGCTTCCGATTCCCTGCCTCAGGAGACGGATGACCCGAATGCCACGCAAGGCACGGACCAAGCGCATCGTTCGCCTTGCGGTGACGGCGCTGGACATGGCTTTCGATTGAGAAAACCATGAAACACATGGTGGGAATTTCTGAAAGTTTAGGGAAACATGACATGAAAAGTAAAACTGCAGGAATCTGGTGGGATTTCACGCGGATCAAACTATGATTTAGATATGATGTAGGCGTTTTTTCAGCACCAAGCAATGGAGTATCCAGGATTTTACTGGAATCCCGTGGGGTTTTGATAAACTTAATGTGTTACAAACCACTAACTGAAGCTTATGGGATATGTAACAAAAGATCTCAAACAAGCACGCCGTGACAGGTTTTAAGGTATAACTGTGTCGGCTTGCATGAACAATCTGAGATGCCATGCTCAAATGTCATGCGCGTATGAATTTAAAATCCCCTTATGGATTAAGTGAAAGTGTGGGTGTCAGCAATTTTATAGTGATAAACCTGGAGACGCTGACCTTTTTTTGAAAATGCATCTATAGAATCAGAGACGCCAGGGTATTTTCAAGTTGACAATCTCTATAGAATTGCTGTCACTGAGGTTGGGTACGAGCATCATTTTCTATAGAATAGCTGACACCAAGTCACTCTCGCAAAGCCTTTTTTAGGTTGGGGGGGTTAGTTGGCCTTCTATAAAATCAGATTCCCCAAGTCTCATTCATTGACAGCTGACCTGAATACTCCAGTTGCTCTTGCTCCAAGTTTTCAGTGTCAACCTGTTTTCAACATGAAATCTCTATAGAATCGCTAACACCAAGGTCCTCTATAAAATTGCAAACGTTGACACTGGGTAGGTACCCCTAAACAAAGGAGGGCCCTAAAACGCACAGGAAATTGCAAGGAGGATAATTTAAACACATTCGGGGGCATTGGGGGCATCAAATCCCGATAAACTCAGGCAGGCAAACCCCTACTTGTGGCCAATTGCTATTCCATCAAAATATCTGGGATCAAAGCCAGCTAACAAGTTTGCAGATGTTAACAGATGTTGGATCATCCCAACATAAGTAAAGAATTCAGAAATTGCCAGCAACAAACTCTTTGGTAATATCAAATTAGGATTTACGCTCTGGTAAACTAATATGGCGAAGTGGAAAATCACCATCGTTATGGGCCATTTTCAATAGCTATGTAACAAATTACCAGAGGATATCATAGCCCCCGCCATTAGAAACTACACCTCTGAGTTCGGCAGCTGGTTCCTCCCCCGTGATGCTGGGGCACATGATGCGCAGGTGCGCCGCGCTGGATCCTGAATTACTGGAACTCAATGAGAGGTCCTGCAGCCGAGGTGATGATCATCGAGGTTTACACCTGTTGCCTCTTCTGGTTTATCCAGGTTGATGCTTTCCATTGCCCAATTCTGCGAAAAAATACCTATTGTTGATGGCTCAAACATGTTCAAGTCAATACATCAATTTCTGGTTTGTGCAAGAACAAACGTAGATTGCACTGTAGATCTTCTGAATGGGATGGTTTGAGGGAAAACTTACAGAATCCTCCTATATTTTCTGGGAACAACTGGAACAACGGAACAACCATGGTTTCCGGTCAATTCCATTGATTCTGGGCACCTTTTAATAATTAACTAACCTGAAATATTCGGCCATTTTGGGATGATTTCTCTTATTAACCATGATGCCACAATTCCAGGGCTCGGTCGCAGTGAGGTCGTTATAATTTGACCAGATTGATTTTGAGCCTATTCTGTCTGACAGTCCCAAAGCTCGACGCCAATCTCGAGCACCGAGGCGGCAATGACCAGGAAATCTAAGTTGTTCCTGGGCGATCGCTGGTGATTTGCTATGGGCTGTTTAATTAGCCCCATCCAAGTCATGGATGACCATGACTTAGCATTGAAAACATGAATTTGGGATAGCCACATTTTAGGAAACCTCCATATGGCGTGTTAGCGTTGAATGAAAATCGGGTCTGTTTGAAACTAGGTTCCGGCGCTGATAGCGGACCCGTGTTTTTTTTTAAATAATTGGTTTTATTTCAGTAAAATCTTTCATTGATGTGTTTAAAACTGTGGCGCCGTGACGATTTTGTTGTTTTGCCTTAAAGAGGAATTGTTGTTTTCGTCCCACATGGAATTCTATTGGTCCAAATATTCTGCAAACCTGGATTTGGAAAACCGGGGTTTCACACAGCGTTTCGCGTCTCAGCGTTTGCGTTTGTTAACTCTGGCTGCCAATTTGACTAGGCTTCCTTTCAAGACGGCTTTGTGGTTCTAACGATAGGCGAAGGACCATAATTACATATTTTTTGTTATTTTTTTGGATGCGTTGAAAATCCTATTTGGTCACCTTGTCTTTGCTACTCAAGGAGAAGAAGTATGTGGCAAGTGATAAGAGACATGTTACAGCGTAGCATCAAGAGCGTGTGGCAAGTGACAAGAGACATGTTACAGCGTAGCATCAAGAGCGTGTGGCAAGTGACAAGAGACATGTCAGCGTAGCATCAAGAGTGTGTGGCAAGTGACAGGAGACTTGTCACAGCGTAGCATCAAGAGCGTGTGGCAAGTGACAGGAGGCATGTTACAGCGTAGCATCAAGAGCGTGTGGTAAGTGACAGAGACATGTCACAGCGTAGCCTCAAGAGCGTGTGGTAAGTGACAAGAGACATGTCAGCGTAGCATCAAGAGCGTGTGGCAAGTGACAAGAGACATGTCACAGCGTAGCATCAAGAGCGTGTGGCAAGTGACAAGAGACATGTCACAGCGTAGCAGCAAGAGTGTGTGGCAAGTGACAAGAGACATGTCACAGCGTAGCATCAAGAGCGTGTGGCAAGTGACAAGAGGCATGTCACAGCGTAGCAGCAAGAGTGTGTGGCAAGTGAAATGAGACATGTTACAGCGTAGCATCAAGAGCGTGTGGCAAGTGACAGGAGACATTTTACAGGGTAGCATCAAGAGCGTGTGGCAAGTGACAAGAGGCATGTCACAGCGTAGCATCAAGAGCGTGTGGCAAGTGACCAGAGAAATGTCACAGCGTAGCAGCAAGAGCGTGTGGCAAGTGACAAGAGACATGTCACAGCGTAGCATCAAGAGCGTGTGGCAAGTGACAAGAGACATGTCACAGCACAGCATCAAGAGCGTCTGGTAAGTGACAAGAGACATGTCACAGCGTAGCATCAAGAGCGCGTGGCAAGTGACAAGAGACATGTCACAGCGTAGCATCAAGAGCGTGTGGCAAGTGACAAGAGACATGTCAGCGTAGCATCAAGAGTGTGTGGCAAGTGACAGGAGACTTGTCACAGCGTAGCATCAAGAGCGTGTGGCAAGTGACAGGAGGCATGTTACAGCGTAGCATCAAGAGCGTGTGGTAAGTGACAAGAGACATGTCACAGCGTAGCATCAAGAGCGTGTGGCAAGTGACAAGAGACATGTCACAGCGTAGCATCAAGAGCGTGTGGTAAGTGACAAGAGACATGTCACAGCGTAGCATCAAGAGCGTGTGGCAAGTGACAAGAGACATGTCACAGCGTAGCATCAAGAGCGTGTGGTAAGTGACAAGAGACATGTCACAGCGTAGCATCAAGAGCGTGTGGCAAGTGACAAGAGACATGTCACAGCGTAGCATCAAGAGCGTGTGGTAAGTGACAAGAGACATGTCACAGCGTAGCATCAAGAGCGCGTGGCAAGTGACAAGAGACATGTCACAGCGTAGCAGCAAGAGTGTGTGGCAAGACAAGAGACATGTCACAGCGTAGCATCAAGAGCGTGTGGCAAGTGACAAGAGACATGTCACAGCGTAGCATCAAGAGCGTGTGGCAAGTGACAAGAGACATGTCACAGCGTAGCAGCAAGAGTGTGTGGCAAGTGACAAGAGACATGTCACAGCACAGCATCAAGAGCGTGTGGCAAGTGACAAGAGACATGTCACAGTGCAGCAGCAAGAGTGTGTGGCAAGTGAAAAGAGACATGTTACAGCGTAGCATCAAGAGCGTGTGGCAAGTGACAGGAGACATTTTGCAGGGTAGCATCGAGAGCGTGTGGCAAGTGACAAGAGGCATGTCACAGCGTAGCATCAAGAGCGTGTGGCAAGTGACAAGAGACATGTCACAGCGTAGCATCAAGAGCGTGTGGCAAGTGACAAGAGACATGTCACAGCGTAGCATCAAGAGCGTGTGGCAAGTGACAAGAGACATGTCACAGCGTAGCGGCAAGAGTGTGTGGCAAGTGACAAGAGACATGTCACAGCGTAGCATCAAGAGCGTGTGGCAAGTGACAAGAGGCATGTCACAGTGCAGCAGCAAGAGTGTGTGGCAAGTGAAAAGAGACATGTTACAGCGTAGCATCAAGAGCGTGTGGCAAGTGACAGGAGACATTTTACAGGGTAGCATCGAGAGCGTGTGGCAAGTGACAAGAGGCATGTCACAGCGTAGCATCAAGAGCGTGTGGCAAGTGACAAGAGAAATGTCACAGCGTAGCAGCAAGAGCATGTGGCAAGTGACAAGAGACATGTCACAGCGTAGCATCACAAGTGACAAGAGACATGTCACAGCGTAGCATCAAGGGACGTGTTGCACTGTAGCACCTGGCATTACGGAGCTGTGGCCCCTTTGCCCCCGCCCCCCACCCCACCCGGTTTCCCGAGAAAATCAGACTATCCTTCGCGCACAACTTCTAACTGACGCGCACAACTTCTAACTGCCGCGCACAACTTCAAACTGACGTGCACAACTTCTAAATGACGCGCGCAACTTCTCACTGATGTGCACAACTTCTAACTGACATGCGCAACTTCTAACTGATGTGCAATGTGGCCGCAAAAAACAGCAAAAACTGCGGGTCCGTTAACAGCACCGGTAGCTGAAACTAGGGGTACATTGAAAAACTACCATGTTTTAGTAGTCACATTTTCAGATACAGATAGATCCAAATCGCGCAGCAATGCGCCCGACGACACTGTCATATTTTGTGGTCACCACCATCCAACTTGAGGCGTAAGATGATTTCTGGCAGCACTTTCAACATTGGTCAACAAACATACTTCGCAATCAAAGATTTATGAACTCCATATTCCTGGGTCATGAAATACATAAAGTGGATCAACATATCTTCATATATCTTCACAATACCCTGTTTGGGGATTGGTCATTGTCATCTTGAACTGGGATCGTCACTTCATCAAACCCCTGCTCATGTGCGTTTACGCACAGCTAACCACATTCCAACCCCAACCACAAGCCACCCAAAAATGCAGAATGTCACTCCAATGCATTCCAACAAGGAAAAGGTCGCCACTCTCCATGACATTCTGACGTTCTGCGTTGTTCCAAGATGTGCCATGCCAAGGTGAACCATTGGACCATCCCCCCCTCTGAGCCAAGGTATCCAAAAGGAGTCCTTGCCAAATAGGAAGCCCTGGTGACCGCTGTGCCATCGCTGGGCCATGGAATCATGGAACTGCTTGGGTGTTAAGCACGTGTTTTTCATGAACGTCTACCAATGGTTGATTTTTTGGATGTCACCTGGTCCGAAAGCACCCAATACAACAAGAGCCAGATGTCACATCCGGTCTTGTCAAATAAACTGAGGCAAAAACTAAGTTTTACCATTAGCCAAACATGGAAACCATGCGCAAATCTGATCATTTCTATCGAGAATATTGAAAACTGAAACCATAATCCCCATAATCCCAATATGCATATCTATATATATATATGTATATATATATTATGTGTGTGTACATGTTGATTTGCTAATTTACTTAAGTAAAAAGATTCATGGCTTAGTGCACTTGTTCAACCGCTCGATGACATGACACATTTCCTCCCAGAAATGGGACGGCTGTTCCGCTTCCTCTTTCTTCTTTCGGTGGAGTCTATCCAAACCAACTGGATTTTGCAGAGCAGGTTGGTTGTGATTTCATACTAGTAATTATCATTTATATGATTTACATATGTTCTTTTAATGGAGATTTATATGATTTTATCGTAATTATCATGTCGTAAATATCATAACATTTCATCATAACCCAGCGGATAACAGGTGGATAGGCCATCGCCTATGACTTTGGCTAGCCCAGCCTCGAATCCGAAGGCAATGAACTTCATGCCGATTTCCTGTGTGGACCAGCCAAAATACTGCAACATGTCCAGAACAAAGATGCGGGAATCACGGCACCCGAACCATAAGCATATGATGGGATCATAAGCGACCCTGGCAACCCTGGGAAAATCGCAGAATACCCAACAACATCTGGAGACTTAAGCAATCCTTAACTGCTTGGGATTTCAAGTACCCATTTCCTGCTTGCGGCTCCTTGTCATTGTAACTCCTCCACCAACCATTAACCAAGCCCCGGCCCATGTGGGATACTCAGCTCTTTGTCACCAAGTCTCAGCTAAGAAAACGCACACAATCAGAGTGTTCACCTGGGGCAAGGGGGCAAGGACCAAGGGGTGATGGCTCACATGAATTATCCTCGGGCCTTTTTTGATATAGACCTGGAAAATGGAGAAACATGATCCTTTTGTAGTTGCTTTACCTATCAATTTACCACCAAAGATAGCTATTAGCAGCTATGTCAAATTATCAATTCGCAAATTGTCGTTCTCATTCAACCTGATGTTTTCAAGCCACCAGCAGAGGGTGGCAAATTGTTGAATGTATCCAGCAGACCCCATGATATTCCACTAGTAAGCATTACCAACACAGCCACTCAACATTTACACTAAGTTCAATGATTAACCCATCATAAAAGAGAACGTGGTGCAGACTGCTTTCACAAACTATGGCAACTTGTACTCACGAAAACGGCTGCACAAAGTGTAAGTGGGAGATTGGACTCTGCAGCGTTGCTAAGTTGCATTGTATTTTGACCTGCTCTGTGTGATCGTTGACAGGGTTGCCACCAATACTCCAAAGGTACAATGAATTCACAGTACATGATAGTTTCGCCCTTATCACCATGATTCATCTTTAGATCAGTTGGAGCAACCGCATTCTATCTGTCGTCCATGTTCCTCTTTTGAAACAGGAAGCAACCAAAAAAACCCTGTGCAAAGTGCAATCAAAAAAATATGAGGGGATCAGCCGTTCCATTTCCAAACGGTTGGGTAAGCATTCTCACCATCCCCTCCTTTGGATCCCCAAATGTCAATGGTATGAGCATGCTTTACAAAAAAAAAACGTGTTTAACCAGTGTAACATTGTAGAACAATGACCTAACTGGAGAGATGAGAGACACACACACACACTATATATATAGATAGATATAGATATGTAAAAACATATATATATATATATATAGTGTGTATATATATAGTCAATAATTAATATATAGTTAGTGTGTATATGAATATATATATATATCTAAATACCATATATATACATATACATACACTAAATATATACTAAATGTATACTATATATATATATATATTTACACTATATATATATATATATATTTGTATAAACATAAATAAAATGTGTATATATATAGTATATATTTAGTGTGTATATATATATATATATATACACCATATATATATATTTTATATATAATCTGAATGCCCTCGAACTTGTATGGTTTCGTGCACATCTTCCCTTCACTGACTGGTAGCTTCAACCCCGCCCTGTGAAATGCCATGGGGATCATAATCCCAGGGTTGATTTCTTGATGATGAAACCACCAACCAGTTGTTCAATTTGAATCATTGCATATCTATACATTTGTAAATATAATGCATATGTATATCATTGTATCTCCATAAAGATTCCAATTATATGCTATTTTCCAATTTTAGATGATCAAACCACCATGGTGGTTTTAAGTTGCCATCATTTCCCATCCTTCCCCAAAGCCGACGGATTCCGACTCCGAGAGACGACGCCGAACCAGCGCGGAATGTCGAACTGACCCAGCTGCGTGGCCTTGTCGACTTCAATGCCTGCGGCGGGTGAGGCCAAAAGGATCCAAAAGGTGTGGAACAGCCTGAGGCCTCAATGCCTGTCTATATGGACATTCAAACGGGAACAATCCCCGAACTCAATGGTTTTTTTGATCACTGATGATCACTGCCATCTGAGCTTGCCGGAGGAGTCCTTCCGGGTGCAGTTCCACTTAACAAGTGAGTCTGTGAACATAACAAACTACAGGGGTCGTATCCCAGCCTATAGGGGTTACTTCCATGGTTACACCCAACTGCACCCCCAAGTACCAGAGATATCCGGAGACACTGATTGAATGATTCTATGTTAATATATATAAAATTATATAATATTATAGAACTGGCATGAACTGGAGATGTCAATGGAATCAATCATAGCATGTGGAACATTCATTCAAAGGCGCCCTGGCCCTATTCAAAAGGATGCTATTCAGCTTTGCACAGGTGAGATGCAGTTCGGCCACAAAGAAGCAACAAAATGCACTGAGGTAGGTAGTCAAAAAAGGAAAATAATGGTGATATTTGAAGTTGAAATAAGTTAGAGATACATATTATTCAAAAAAAACAACAAAACAAAAACATGGGCCCACAATACTACGAGTACTTTTAGACCCGTCCAACACGCCACAACACAGAAAAACAAACACTTTTGTTTAAATATTTTTGTATTTTGGCACCACCCCACTAATTTTCAGACACCATAAACATCCGTTTCAAACAACAACAACAACAACAACAACAACAACAACAACACCACCAGCAGCAGCAGCAGCAGCAACAGCTGCTGCTGGCCAACAACATAAATCAAGTAAACTCATTCAGTCACAGAAATTCTGAAAAGTTTTTTTGCACCTTTGAATAATTCCCAGGAGGTGAAGAAAGAAACATGTTATATAGGCTTTCAGGTAGGGCAGGGATCGAACTTAAGCTGGAAATCCCAATTTTTGGGAATATGATCTTCTGGAGAATAAATTCTTACGAATAGTGGCATTTCTAACATACATTTTGTCCCATTTCAATCTTAGCTCCTGGGGCATTCTAGAAACTTTTCTCGTGCCAACCCTCACGGGGTGAGGATGCAAGCCTGCCCTTCAAATTGAGCATGCTTACTGCAGTTCAGAGTTCTAGGAGACCCAAGCATGGGGACAAAACAAAACATTTTTTGGGTATTTCTTATTGAAGACAAAATCGAATAGTTTCCGGAACACTTTCCTACCCTATGACAGAGCCAGGCAAAATATGTCACAAACTGCCAAGAAAAGGAAACCAACACAACCCACCATCTGGATCCGTCTGGCAGCATGGCTAGCTGGATCCTGACTTCTCTCGCATATGCCTCTTGAACTTCTCCAACAAACAAGTGGCCATGGGCATCAACTCAACTCAAGCTGAGTGGCCCAGGAGCACCAAATTCAACAAGATCAGCAGCATCACACCTTAGAAATCAGTAAGTCCCCCGGATCCGCTTCGCAACAACTCGAGTTGGTCTTAAATTGGACTTGCGAGAAAGGAATAATACAAATAAATTGCCCCCGAAAGGTAAGTTGTCCGAAAATGAAATGAAAAATATTGAGCAAGGCAAGTTCATGCGGATGAATCAGTAGCAATGCATTTATGGCAACCGCAATGTGCCGGTTGAACCCGTCGAGGAATATATGGTGACAACCTCACCACTCATTTGATGAATCACTACAGTTCGCGGCGTGTTCAAACCATCTATCATCCATTCAAGTGGGTGTTTCTCAATGCTGGGACAGCCCTTCCAGCTTTTCACCATTGGTTTCCCCATAAGATACCACCGATAAAATTGATGATTTCAGGGTCCCCCATCAAGAAATCCCCCAAATTTGTTCATAATCCTGGAAGAGATTTCTCCAGGCTTAAGGGGCCACTATGGTCATTGGACTCCAATTCATGGATAGTTCCAATATGATCCAATTGGGAACCAAAGCTTTGATTGGGGCATTCATAATCCCCACATTGCTGTCAGTTCTCTACTTGCTGGATAACTGGTTTACTACTGCGTTTTCATTGTCTGTTTACAGTGAAAAATCATCACGTCCACCCGTGAATTGCTGATATTGATATTCCCCATCTCGTTGGTATTGCACTAATTGGCGGGTACACTTATCCCATTTTACAAACACATTCTTGAACTAATAGATCATATTGATCGCAATCAATACCCGGTAAGTTTGTTCATTGCAGTTTTCTCCATTAGCAAGTAAGGTGTTCAAACAATGTTATATAGTATAATTAACCATGTTCTTCATCATGATCATGATTACTATTTGATATTCAAACACATCCCCGTTCCTAATCCCGATATTGTTGGTTCTGTTGTTTTCTCATTAAAGATTCCAATATCGCCCACTATAGCCGAACATGATGAAATCATATGAAATCATCATATATCAATTACAATAAAATCCCAGGTCATAACTCATGGTGACTTTTGGATAATTGCCAAAAACATGTTTTTAAAGCTGGTTAGTACGTTTAAACCATTGATAGCAAAAGATCTCTCCCGATCCAAGGGTATCGATCAATAAGCAACCATATATCAGTTGACTTCTTGTACTATATCAGTTGGTTCAATATCAACTATCAATTACCATTTTAACCATGATCGAAGGAAGTTTAGAAGTCAAACTTCTGACAATATGGACAAATAAAAAGCAGAGGGGGGAAGAGTCAGAGAAGAGAAGAGAAGAGAAGAAGAAAGAAGATCAAAAACGAGAAAGTCCAAGAAGAAAGAAGATCCAGGTGCGCTAAAGCGGCCGGTGCGGAGCCCGTTGGGCAGATGAGAGATGAAAAATTGCACGCTGTTGTGGCGAGAAGCACATTTCGAAATCAAAATGTACAAAACACACCGGGTCCGGACCACTTTTGGAAGTTGAGATGTCGAACAATTGCACGCCATTGTGGCGCGAAGCACATTTCGAAGTCAAAATGTACAAAACACACCAGGTCCGGACCACTTTTGGAAGTTGAGATGTCGAAAAAATGCACGTCGTTGTGGCGCGAAGCACATTTCGAAGTCAAAATGTACAAAGCAGACCAGGTCCTGACCACTTTTGGAAGTTGAGATGTTGAAAAATTGCACGCCGTTGTGGCGAGAAGCACATTTCGAAATCAAAATGTACAAAACACACCGGGTCCGGACCACTTTTGGAAGTTGAGATGTCGAAAAATTGCACGCCATCGTGGCGCGAAGCACATTTCGAAGTCAAAATGTACAAAACACACCAGGTCCGGACCACTTTTGGAAGCTGAGATGTCGAACAATTGCACGCCGTTGTGGCACGAAGCACATTTCGAAGTCAAAATGTACAAAGCAAACCAGGTCCGGACCACTTTTGGAAGTTGAGATGTCGAAAAATTGCACGCCGTTGTGGCGCGAAGAACATTTCGAAGTCAAAATGTACAAAGCACACCAGGTCCTGACCACTTTTGGAAGTTGAGATGTCGAAAAATTGCACGCCGTCGTGGCGCGAAGCACATTTCGAAGTCAAAATGTACAAAGCACACCAGGTCCTGACCACTTTTGGAAGTTGAGATGTCGAAAAAATGCACGCCGTCGTGGCGCGAAGCACATTTCGAAGTCAAAATGTTAATTACTTGACTTCGTGTGATCCCCACCATGACATTTATACATTTTCTTACTGGCAAATCTTCTGGCATTCTATCTGACATATCTTCTGGCATTCTATCTGGCATATCTCATGGCATTTTATCTGGCATATCTTCTGGCATATCTTCTGACATTCTATCTGACATATCTTCTGACATTCTTTCTGGCATATCTTCTGACATTCTGTCTGGCATATCTTCTGACATTCTTTCTGACATTCTTTCTGGCATTCTATCTGGCAAATCTTCTGACATTCTATCTGACATCTTTTCTGACATTCTTCCCGTTGAGGCCCGGCAGTGCCCACTGCGATCTGGAAGTGGAAGTCGCGGTTGAGGTCCGGCAGTGCCCACTGCGATCTGGAAGTCGCGGTTGAGGTCCGGCAGTGCCCATTGCGACCTGGAAGTCGCGGTTGAGGTCCGGCAGTGCCCACTGCGATCTGCAACTCGCGGTTGAGGTCCGGCAGTGCCCACTGGGATCTGGAGCTCGCAGTGGAGGTCCTGCTGTGCCCACTGGGATCTGGACTGCGAGGAGGAGGCGGCGGGTGAGGAGGCGGAGGAGGCGGAGGAGGCGGAGGAGAAGAGCTCGTTAAAATCTAGCAACCCTCACCTGGCAGGTGGGGAACAAACACCACATGTTCGCTCCACTTTTGGACGTTCGGATGTCGTTTCGCGTGGCAGGCACAAGGGATTGTGGACCTTGTCAAAAGTGAGCAAAACCTGAAGGTTTTGTAGCATTTCCAAAAAAGATGGCAGGCGTGGGACATTTGAAGAGGATCTGCAAAACTGCATTTTCCGTGGCAGGCGCGGTACAAGAGACATGTTCATCAGAGCTGTTAGGAGGTCCGGGCGCTGATTTCCTGAGAAGGGTTGCATTTTGGAGCCTCAGATCTTCAGGTTTGCTGAGATAATTTTGCGTGACAGGTGCAGCACTTCGTATGACCTGGCATCACTTTTTCGTGGCAAGCGCAGTACTTTAGACAGGTGGAGTGGAAAAATCGCAAAACGCATTGGTACGAGGTCGTCAGCTCTGCACTCATCTTTCCATTTTTGAAGGAAGTCTCGCAGAATTGCTTTGTTTTTGATGCTGTCAACTTCGAAAAATGAGGAAGTCTCGCAGAATCTTTTGTTTTTTTGTTGTCAAGTGCAAAAATTGAGGAAGTCTCGCTGAATTGCTGCGAGTTTGATGTTGCAAAGTTCAAAAACTGAGGAAGTCTCGCAGAATAGCTTCGTTTTCAAGCTTGCAGATTGATAGATAGACAGGTAGATAGATAGATAGGTAGATAGATAGGTAGATCGATTATTAGATGAAAGCGAGAGAGAGAGAGAGATAGATCGATAGATAGATAGGTAGATAGATAGGTAGATAGGTAATTAAATGAAAGAGAGAGAGAGAGATAGATCGATCGATAGATAGATAGATAGACTAGACAGATGAGATAGATGAGATAGATGAGATAGATGAGATTAATAGATGAGATAGATGAGATAGATGAGATACATGAGATAGATGAGATCGGTGAGATAGATGAGATAGATGAGACAGATGAGATAGATGAGATAGATGAGATTAATAGATGAGATAGATGAAATAGATGAGATAGATGTGAGATAGATGAGATTCATAGATGAGATTAATAGATGAGATAGATGAGATAGATGAGATAGATGAGATAGATGAGATAGATGAGATAGATGAGATAGATGAGATAGATGAGATAGATGAGATCCATGAGGTAGATAGATGATAGATGAGATAGATGAGATAGATGAGATAGATGAGATAGATAGATAGAAATAGATAGATAGATAGAAAGATAGATAGATAGATAGGTAGATAGATAGATAGACAGAGGGAAAGGCAGACAGATAGATAGATAGATAGATAGGTAGATAGATCGATAGATAGATTAGATTAGATTAGGTTAGATTAGATTAGATAGATAGATAGATAGATGCGATAGATGGGATGATGGGATAGGGGATAGAGATAGATGGGATAGATGAGATAGATGAGATAGATGAGATAGATGAGATAGATGAGATAGATGAGATAGATGAGATAGATGAGATAGATGAGATAGATGAGGTGAAATAGATGAGATAGATGAGATAGATGAGATAGATGAGATAGATGAGATAGATGAGATAGATGAGATAGATGAGAGAGATGAGATAGATGAGATAGATGAGATAGATGAGATAGATGAGATAGATGAGATAGATGAGATAGATGAGATAGATGAGATAGATGAGATAGATGAGATAGATGAGGTAGATGAGATAGATGAGATAGATGAGATAGATGAGATAGATGAGATAGATGAGATAGATGAGATAGATGAGATAGATGAGATAGATGAGATAGATGAGATAGATGAGATAGATGAGATAGATGAGATAGATGAGATAGATGAGATAGATGAGATAGGTGAGATAGATGAGATAGATGAGAT